TTCGAAAAAATATTCCTAGATGTCGTAGGACCACTACCTCGTTCACATAGTGGAAATGCTTTCATCTTAACGTTACAAGATGACCTCACTAAATTCGCATGGGCTTCCCCCACGGAGAATCATGAAGCGAATACGGTAGCACAACATTTTGTGACCAAATTCGTGTGCTTACACGGAATACCGCAAAGTCTGGTGACAGACTGTGGTACGGAATTTTTAAGCAACGTTTTTAAAGAGGTGTGTAAACTCCTAAAAATTAGACAGACGTCGACCACACCTTACCACCCTCAGAGCAATGGCAGTCTCGAAAGAAGTCATCGTTCTTTAGCAGAATATTTACGAAATTTTATCGGAAAAGACCAACTAAACTGGGATACTAGAATCCCATATGCGATGTTTTGCCATAACTCCACTGTTCATTCAGCCACGATATTCCAGCCATATCATTTGGTTTATGGAAATTCTGTAAAAATCCCCACATCTTTCACTAACGAACCAGAACCTCAGTACAATTATAATGACTACCAATTCGAAGTCAAAAGACAAATGCAAGAAGCTCAGGCTTTTGCAAGAAACAATTTGCTGGAAGCAAAAAGCAAGTCAAAGGAACAGTACGACAAGACAGCAAAACATCAAATTTTTGAAATCAGTCAGAAGGTTTTACTACAAGAAAAAGCCGCGAAAAACAAACTGGCCCCGAAGTGGTTGGGTCCATATGAAATTGTAGATGTAAATCCAACAAATAAAAATGTAACCATAAAAAAAAATAACAAGAAGAATCAGACCATACACCAAAATTTACTAAAGTTATTTCACGAAAAATGAAACGAGAAAAATGAATTTGTTCCAGGAAACCCATCATGGCATTCGCTGGAATTTCCAAGAAAAATCCGTCATTCTCGAAAATGGTAATCCTGATAATGTGGATATGGGATAGTACATCAGAAGCTCAAGAGAATTATAACATTACTACCTTCCCGGATCACAAAGGATTCTATTATGAATCTCACGGAATGATCAAAACTTCTCACACTAAATGGAACTTGGTAACGTATGTGGACATTGGAATCTTGACCACAAAATATGATAAGTTGATGACCCAGTATAGCGAAATGGAGACAATTTGTAAGCAAATGATAGCAAACTTTGGTAATGCAGAAATAGAAAACATTTGTAATCAATTCGTAAACCAATTTTCTACTACAACCCGTCCATATTTATATGAAATTCAGTTAAATCGTCGTAACGCGATGTTATCGATAGAGCATAACTCAAATAATGAAATTCGAAATCGCCGAGGATTGGGAGGTACCTTCAAGCGCCTGATCAACGTTTTGTATGGTGCATACTCGAAAATCGACACCGAATTCATATTTAAACAGATCGTAGAATTAACCAAAAACAAAATTCAGAATATTAATTTAGTCAAAGAAAAAACAAGAGTTGTACAAGCAGAAATATTGGATGCAAATCATACTTCACAGGAAATCGCAGAACATCATCAGAAACTCGATAATAACTTGCAGTATTTACAAAGACTGACCAAAGAAAGTATCGTTAAAATCAATAAACTAGAATTTAAAAATAAACTATTAGAGCAAGCCTTTTTATTCGAGGTAACTCTCAATCAGTATGCTTACGAAACACAAAACCTTATGGCCATTATAAATGCAGCACTGGATGGCAAGATCCACACCAGCGTAATTACCCCCAGAAAATTAATACAGGAGTTAAAAGAAATTAAAATCAACTTACCCATGGGAAACGACCTCCCGATAGAAGTAATACCTGAGTCCATGCCAAACCTTTTCAAAATCTCTGAAATAACGATTTTCGTGCAAAACGAGTACTTAATATTTTCTATTGAAATACCCTTGATTTCAAGTAAAGTATTAAATGTGTATCGAGTTGTTTCATTACCAATGATATATTCTACCAATACATTAATTTTAATTGAACCCGAAGTCGAATATTTGGTAATTAACAATGATAATGAGGAATTTTTCACTATGACAGGGAAACAGTGGGAATCATGTGTACATTTAGACACTTACAAATTATGTAAAGGTGGTCAAACATTTCACCGCCGCTCGAGATCGAACGTTTGCGAAGTAGCACTTCTAACATATCAATCAATCCCAGAAACTTGCAAAATAAAATTTGTAACATTAACAACGTCCATTTGGGATAAGTTATTGGATTCCAATGCATGGTTATTTTACACACAACCAACTTTAGTGACCATCAAATGTGCGGAACCTCCACAAATAGTATCATTTCAGATCTCAGGCGTAGGAAGGTTGACCACCTCCCAAGATTGTGAAATCCATACAGAAAATTCCATTATATTTCCGACCAGTAGATCTAATAGAGGTATCTATACTGATTTAATTCCAGAAAGCAAAAAACAGGAATCAGTATTATCAGAGAGTCTAAAAAATATAATTCCCCAGAACCTAAAAGACATAAGTATCGTACACGATTTTAATTCTTTATCCAAAAGGTTAATAGAAATAAGTAAGTTACCAAAGGTAACAACAGAGTCTCTAATAATATTTCAAATGGAATTTCATATGGTACTTGTGTATATCTTAATGTTAACTATAATATCCGTAGTTAGTGGATTAGCTATTAAGTTTAGAAACAGCATAATTAGAATGTACTATCCGGATTTACCGGATATTTTATCACTGAATAATAAGTAAACATTATAATCATAAATTTAGTTATGAAAACATATTGTACGGAACATTAGGGAACCATTAGGTCCCTAAGTTCCATTTAAGTTGGGGGGGGTGTTAAGAACCCCTGGCTATATTAGTTAGTATATATATATATAATAGTGTATAATATAATATTGTACGACGGCGACTGTCTGGAATTGCTGCGACAGCAATTCCAGGCAAGCGCTGGCTACAGGCACGGCTCGTATAGCAAGCCGTGCGAGTGGCATTTCAGAGCAGTAGACGGAACATTGTGATTCGCGCCAGAACATTATTATTGTCAGACCATTTTTTATAAAACATTAAATAATTCATTAAGTGTATTGTAAGTTTTTCTTTTCAAGTTAAATATAGAAAGTAACATATAGTTCGAAAGTGTTCGTTGTTTTTATTTGTGCACGGACCTCCAAGGAGATACGTAACACTGGTGTCTGGTACACAAATGAGAGGCTGTTTTTTTCATTTTTGTCAATGTCTATGGCGAAAAATACAAAGCCTTCCAGAAATACGTCAAAAATATACGAACAATGCAGATTTTGCTTTGGAAATAAAGCAGCTAATGGCTTAACTTTTGTTTCTGTGTCAGATGTTGTTGAGAAATTCGACGAATTGATGTCTCAACAGTTTTTTGTAGACAATGAAGAGTTATTAATCCATTTAATTGATTATTTTGAAGAGACGTGGATCGGGAGACCAACTAGAAGAAATATACGACGACCTCCAATATTCCAATTAAAATTATTTAACCAATACGATACTACACAAGCAGGTTTGCCAAAAACAAACAATAATATTGAAGGTTGGCATAGAGCATTCTCATCTTTATTAGCTGCGTCTCATCCTACCATATGGCGACTAATTGAGGGTCTTAAAAAAGAACAACAGTTAACTGAATTAAAAGTTAACCAATTCATTGCTGGACAAGAACCTCCAGCAAAAAAAAAAAAATATCGCGATGTTGCTAGACGTATACAAAATATTGTATCTACATATGACGAACTTGATCTGGAAGAGTAGGTACTTAATTGGAGTCGCTCAAAATTTAGAGCTACAAAATTAAAACAACGGTAATTTTTATATTTTTTTAAATTCATTATATTATATACCTTATACCTATTTACGTGATCCATAGATTACATTATTTTATATTTTTTTAAATTCATTATATCTATTATTACTATTGCAGCTCGACAATTATAATTATTTATAATAAATAGGTACAGAGATAATAAAATGACAATGTATTTTATGTTATATTTACGTGATCAATAAATTATGAATAACATTTTTTTAAATATAATATGGACGGGGAAATGTCTTACGGTGAAGTGGTTACGGGGAAATGTCTGACGGGGAAATGGCAGACAGGGAAGTGTCCATGAATCCAAATTACGTGCTAATGTTGACATGGAAAACTTTAAAATTTCTAAATGGGTGTGGCTGTCAATGTACGTTATAATATTATGGGTATACTTTAACACTTAATAACCTAAATACAGTTGGGTAAATTGTAAATATACCTATAAGGCTATATAACCTATGAGTATAAATACCTATTGTAATTTAAAAATAATAATCTTAGAGTTATTATTTAAAGTCTTATAAGGGAACCTATAAAATATAGTGATATCGAAAAAAAAAAAAATAAACACATCATTGTAAAATCAATAATCTCGTTCTACTGTGAATATAAAATATAACATATTAACTATATGTCTATATGTGCCTATGTAACTTGTAAGTGAATATGTGTTATGTTTATACGTCTTTATGTTAAAAATAAGTTACTCAATACTTGTGCACTTTATTCATGTTAAGTTTATTTTTAAATACATGAGTTACATTATTACAATTTATCAACAGGTTATATATTGCTTACATAGACCATGTGCACATCACACGTCTAACCGATAACTGATTTACTGACTATCTACTAATGAAGATTATGACAGCAACAGTGTTGCCCCATATACACATCCCCCCCTTAAACATTTTTTTTTAAAAGAAAACAACAAAACTTAATTAATAGATAATGAAAAAACATTTTTTTTTTTTTTTAAAGAAAACAACAAAACTTAATTAATATATAATGAAAAAACATTTTTTTTTTTTTTTAAAAGAAAACAACAAAACTTAATTATTATATAATGTAAAAACATTTTTTTTTTTTTAAAAGAAAACAACAAAACTTAATTATTATATAATGTAAAAACATTTTTTTTTTTTTTTTTTTTTTAAAGAAAACAACAAAACTTAATTATTATCCCATAACATAAATTATTCTAATAATTTTTTTGGAATTTTTACTACCCTACCACTTTTAGTCACTCTTCCTTTTGTGCCTAAATATTGCATCCATTCAGGTACAATCAACTCATCATCACTTACCTCCATCTCAGTCCCTCTATCATCATTATTCCTAACTTCCTCATTTTCTCCTACTATTGCTCCATTACTATCTTCTTTATTAAATATCATACCTATTATTATGTCATCATTATCAAACTCTTGGTGTGCACCTACTCTCATTAGAGAACGTCTAAGGTGTGCTGATGTTCTTCGCACCACTCTTCCCGATTCTTGCACTATATAAGACCTAGGGCTATTAGCAACTTTCGCTTTTACAATACCTGGTTCCCACATTGAATTTTCCCGAACCATAACTTTGTCACCTTCCTCAAACCCTTGTTTATTCTTTGCCGTTTTATCATAATACTGTTTATATTTTTTTTTATACACTTGTTGCCTTAGGCTCACCTCAGTTTGCACCTTAGGCATTAAATTTGATTCTTTAATTGGAAATTTAGTACGCAACAACCTACTCATTAGCAACTCACAAGGTGCTGCCCCCATGTGCGGTATTGTAGTGCAACGATATTCAAGTAACAAATCACTTACGTCCCTACGCTCACTTTCAGCTTTACGTAATAACTGTTTAGCGGTCTGAACTGCTCGTTCAGCCATTCCATTTGATTGTGGATATCTTGGACTTGATGTATTTAATTCTATGTTCGCTTCCTTACAGAACGTCCGAAACTCCATTGAGCCAAATGGCATATTATCAGAAAATATTACTCTAGGACAGCCATGAACACTCATTACTATTTTAAATTGCTTGATCATTTCACTGGCTGTTTTCTGTTGTAGTTTAATCAACTCTAGCCATTTAGAATAATGATCAGCTATTACTAAGAAATCAAAACCAGCAAATGTTAAAACATCACAACTAACGATTTCAAAAGGTAAACTTGGTATCTCATGAAAAATCAAGGATTCCTTAATATTAGAATTTCTAAATTTTGAACAAATCACACAACTGTTCACATACTGCCGTATTTCATTATCCATAGAAATCCAATAAACCAACTGTTTTGCTCTCAACAACGTCTTGAGTATACCATTATGCCCTTCATGTATCAATTTCAATACAGCTAATTTTAATTTACTTGGTATCACTATTCTGCTATCATAATATAATATTCCTTGGTCCATAGAGATATTCTCTTTTAACCTCCAATAATGTCTTATGCACTCGGGCACTTGTTTTTTGTCTTTAGGCCACCCCTCTGTAAACATTTTAACTACACTTTTCAATATCTCGTCATTCTCAGTTTCTTTTGCTATTTCAGTCACATTAATATTTTTGTACTCAATTGCATGGATTACTCCCTCTATCTCTTGTTCATTTTCCTCTTCATCAAGGTAATTTCTAGAAAGCAAGTCTGCAATGAACATAAGTTTTCCCGGCAAATATTCTACATGTAAATCATAAATAATAAGTTTCATTTTCATTTTCTGTAACCTTACTGAAATTACTTTATCAAAATTTTTTCCAAATATTGACACCAATGGTGAATGATCTGTCATTACCTGTGTCACATGTCCATACACATAATTATGAAATTTTCTGCATGCATACACAATACTTAGCATCTCTTTCTCAATTTGTGGGTACTTTTGTTCCGCTTCATTCAGACTCCTCGAAGAGAATGCAACTGGTCTACCCTCTTGCAACAAACAACACCCAAGACCTGTTTGTGAGCTATCACACTGTATTGTTATTTTTTTGTTTGGGTCAAAGTTAATTAACACTTGAGGACTTGCAACTATTTGTTTTAACTTGTTTAATACCTCAGTGTGAGCCTCACTCCATACCCAACTCACATTTTTTTTTAGTAAGTCCCTCAATATAGTAATTAATGTAGACATGTTTGGTATAAATTGTCTCAGGTTATAAATGCTCCTAGTAATCTCTGCAACTCTAATTTGCATTTAGGTGGCTTTAAACCTAATAACGCCTTAACTCTGTCCTCATCCGGTTTCATTCCCTCATTGCTAAATGTCATACCCACATACTTGATCTCATGCTGTTTATATTTTACTTTTGCACAATTAAATTTTATATTGAACTTTTTTGCCCTCTCTAAGTCCTGTATTACTACCTCATCATGAGTTTTTTCATCCTCAGTAGCAATAAGTAAATCATCAAAATATATATACACATTATTAATATCCCCAAAACACTCTATGCTTCTTTTTTGAAATTCTTCTGGTGCACACGAGAGTCCAAAAGGCAATCTGGTAAATCTGTAGAACCCAAAAGGGGTACTAAAAGTACACAGGTTACTTGATTGCTCATCCAATTTTATTTGCCAAAAGCCATTCTTTAGATCAAATAAAGTAAACCAATTTTTATTGTTCAGATTTAGTCTTAGCTCCTCAAGAGTTGGAATTAAAAATTGATCCCTAATAATTACCTTATTTAGCTCAACAGGATCTAAACAAACACGTAGAGACTTATCCTGCTTTTCCACTATAACAAGGTTACTCGACCAGCTCATTGGTCTCTCAACCTTAACTATCACATCCAATTCACACATTTCAGATAATGTATTTTTTAGCTCTTCTTTAATGGACTCTGGAACTCGCCTCGGAGGATTTAACCTTGGTTCACTATTTTCTTTAATTTTAATTTTGTATTCTCCCGGAAAACATCCTAGTCCGCCATCAAATACTTCTTTATAATCTTTTATAAGTGAATTTAAACAAACATTTGATTCAATGCTTTCCACCTTAGACCTATTTATCAATCTTAATTTAATACAAGTTTTTAATCCTAAGATAGGTACACATCTTGTTTTACTATCATCTACAATAATGAATCTGGTACAAATTTTTTCTTTATTTGCTTCACATACTAATTCAACTGATCCTACATCTTTTATACTAAAACCACCATAAGCCTTGATTTTCAGATAAGTTTTATTTAATTTACTTTTGCAATTTAATTGTTTAAATATACTTAACGGTATAATATCAATATCAGATCCTGTATCCAGTTTAAATTTTATTTTGCAATTATCATTAACTTTAACAATTTCAGACCACCCATTTTTTTTTGATTGGGCATTAATATTCCCTATTTCAACAGACATTATGTCAAACAATTTATAGCCAGGTTCATTATCGCTTACAACTTTAATATTTTCATTCTTACCGATATTATTAACTTCCTTATGAAGTTGTGTGACGTCACGGCAGCCCACTGCAAAATGATTCAATTTTCCACATTTGATACATGACTTCCCAAAAGCAAAACACTTTTTATATCCATGACGCCTTCCGCACTTCTTACAGTCATAATCAACATCAACAGAACTGCTACTACTTCTATCTTTTTTTGAAAAATCTTGCCACTTACTATTATTTTTCACTGATTTAGTCTTAGTGTTACCAGTGTTGGTCATATTATGAACATCCACTTCATCACTTTTGTTTAGTACTTCTTGCTGTTGTTTTGCCAATTCTGCTGACTTGCAATGCTCAACAGTTTGATTTAAGGTCAAATCAGGTGCCCTCAGTAATCTTTCCTGCAGTGCTCTGTTTTTCACTCCCAGAACAATTCGTACCTTTACCATGGTATTCTCCAGATCACCAAAATTGCAACGTTTTGCAATTGTTTTAATGTCCCTCAAGAACTTATCAAATATTTCAAATTCTTCTTGCTTCCTTTGGAAGAAATTAAACTGCTCAATTATTACATTATATTTGGGTTCATAATACTCCTGGAGCGTTTTAAATATAGTCTCAACAGTTGCTGCTGAGCTCGTCGCGTTCAATGTTTCTAACAACTCATACGTGTCATCACCTATGACACTCAACAGTACCGCAACCTTAAGGCTATCCGATTTGGCATCCAGCTCATTAGCTCTCAAGTACAGATCAAACTTGCTTTTAAATAATTTAATATTATTGATAACTGTACCAGAGTCATTGATGTCTAGCGGAGCTGGGGCTGGTACTATTGATCCATTCGACTGCGCCATGTTATGTTTATACGTCTTTATGTTAAAAATAAGTTACTCAATACTTGTGCACTTTATTCATGTTAAGTTTATTTTAAAATACATGAGTTACATTATTACAATTTATCAACAGGTTATATATTACTTACATAGACCATGTGCACATCACACGTCTAACCGATAACTGATTTACTGACTATCTACTAATGAAGATTATGACAGCAACAGTGTTGCCCCATATACAACAATATGTATTTATATTTTATATTCACCTTATTTTTCGAAATTTATGTTGATAGAAATAATACTTACATATTTCGGTAGGAAATACAAAAATTATAATTATCAGTATTCAGTGATAATATCTTAATAATTATAATTTGTTTTTCAGACGCATGCCTATGTCAATTTTGAACACTAGTCTGCAGATATTTACAAACTAATGACCAAAATCATTTTTATTAAAATTTGGAATGGATCTAAATTGTTGTCAAAGATAAACCGAGTCATGAAAATATTGTTACAAAACAGTGGATCGTTAGTCAAAAAGGTTAAACACTATTGGTCAAAACCATAGATAGGATGAAATATATTTTTATATAAAAAAAATGTAAATTCGTTAGGTTTATCTTTGACAACAATTTAGATCCACTCCAAATTGTAATAAAAATTGCTTTGGGCATTAGTTTGTACCGTACTACCGTCCCCCCGTCCAAGTAAAAAAAAATAGTTGACGTACGAAAAACATGAATAAAAATAGTAGAGGAGCTCAGTCCCCCTGAGCACCCCTCCAATTCGAGCACTGGTTATATTCTGTTACATTATGGAAAATATCGGGTTGCTACTAATGCTACTCACATCTACTTGTACGATATGATAATACACCGACTATTTAAACTATTATTGGTTCGATATAAGAATGATACGAAATCAGTTTGTTTCGAATTAATGTAATTCCGATATTTAAAAAAAACAACTTATTATTGAAATATTAACACGACAAACTATTACTGGTAATCACTAATCATTTTTCAAAGATATTAAAGAGAAGAAAAAACAAAGATCGAAAGGAATTTTGATTAACTGATTTAAATATCTTGTATAAATAATCTGTATAATGAATTAATTTGCGTACCACTTATATGTCTAACTATTATTACTTTACGTTCAAACTTTTGAAAACGAATAAAAATACGGTACTCACTACATATTATATTTTTATTTAAATTACATTCACGTTACCTGACAATATTTTTATCAAATTACATTACTTTTTAATTCAAAAAGTAGGGCGACGCAAACTGATAAACAAAGTTACTTTTTTAAAAATTAATTACAAAATCAGTCGATAACGACTAATAGGTAGTAGCAGTGGCGTACGCAGGTGGTTTAAATGGGGGTTGGGGGGTTGAAAATTAGTTACAATTTTATTTCTATTTTGTCTAGTGAAATAACTTCAGAAGTTTATTTGAGGTATTTTAAAATGTTTGTAACTTTTCAACTTTTCTGGTAGGAAAAATACTCTGATCATAAGCTTTGATGCAAAATGTATGTTTTTGGAAGCAAATTGGATCTAGTTGGTACTTTTAGGAGGTCGAAATTGAAAATGCTCAGTGCTTTTTAAAATAATAAATTGGAAAAAAAAAAAATTATCAAAAACATTATTTGGAAAAATATAGAAAAATTACATTTTTGAAAACGTTTAAAAATGTACCTACATACATTTTGAACATCATAAAAAACTATTTAAAATTTTAATATTTAAATTAAATTGAATATTAATTTTTAATAAATATTTCATTATTAATTTAATTCTCAGCTAATACATGTAAAGCAAGATGGAGCAACATAAGAGACCAGTACAGAAAAACCTTGAACAAACAAAAAACTACAAGTGGTCAAGCTTCTAAAACATTGCTGAAATACAAATATGAAGATCAAGTGAATTTTTTGAAACAATACTTCCAAGAAAGACCAACTATTTCAAATATTGAAGGAAGTGATTCTGGAGAAGATGATATGTATGAAGTCCCTGATACGTATGTAGCTGCAGATACTATAAACAATTCTGATCACGAAAACACTGTGAATACAATTGCTATGTCTACGCCAACACATCGGCGTATTCAATTTGGGTTTCGTACTGATGGAAGGAAAAAAAAGGACAAAGAAACAGCATCATCAACATTGATGAAGTACTTATTAGAAAATAGGCAACGCTCAGAAACTACGACTTCACAAAAGATCCCATAGATGCATTTTTGATGGGAATTGTAACTACTATGAAAACATTAGATCCTTTACATGTTAATTTAGCGAAATCGAAAATTTTCACAGCAGTTCAAGAAGTTGAACAACAAAAGATCATGCATAACCAACGTCTTATGTACAATCCTCCTACAGAAAGTAATTGGGTTTGGACTCCTCCACCTTCTTTTGATGTTCAAAGTGTTCAAAATAACCCCCAAAACAACTCTGAACCCTTCCAACTAGAAACAATATCGACTGATATTACACGTTTATAAGTTTTCGTTAACAGTTTTGTCTAGTATTATTTTTTATAACTACAGCAAACAGCAGTGATGTCTTAATTTTAATTTTTCTGTTTTATAATTTATAAAGTTCATTGCTATATATTTATCGATATTTTAATGGTAAACATATTTTTTGTGCAATAAGTTATTTACAGTATTCTCTTTAATATTGTTTAATATTGTTATTAGAGACAGTAAATATTTTTATTATACTCGTATCTTTTTATTTAAATTGTTATTAAATGTTTAATTATTAACATAATTTTCTAAATTTTAAAATTAATTTTTGATCTTATCGATTAAAATATGTATAATATACAATACTTAAGATAAAGAAATAATTTCGATGCCTTTCATTGATTACAAATTTTACTTTTCTGTTTAATTTTATAATTAGGTGCATCTAGTTTCACATTTATTTTTCTAAATAAAATAAAATCATTTTAGCTCAGTTAAACAAAAATTTGTTTTATTATTATATCACAATATTATTTTTTAAATATAGTTTCTATAAGGTACTTAATTATTTATTTTTAATTATAGTTATATTTCATTTAACATGTTGTAAATCACCCAGTATTTTAGTAAGGGTTCCAAAATGTCATGAAAGTTTCATGAACTACTTCATTTTAATGAAAAATAAAAAAAGATAAGATGGATTAAATAAAATAAAAGATTAGATATATTAAATATTTATAACTTATAAAGTTATAAAGTTACAAAAGTTATAACTTATAATGAAATACATTATTATAGTTATCCGCATCTATATTATTTAACCTTTTAATATTTTCGTGCTATTGTTTAATTTAATTCAAAGAAAATACAAATATAAAATGTATCGCATAGTATAATTTATTTGTATTATAATTTTTGAATTATAATTATATTAATTTACTATAAATTATGGCCTATGCCTATATGGTTATATATATCATATTCGTATATTATTATTTATTAATATATTATTATATTAGTATTATAATTTTAATTTATAATCATCAAAGGAAAAACAAATCTTATTGAAAAAAAAATTATTTTTTTATTTAGATAAAAGATAACAGTTCACTTATACTTTAATGGTATGAAATCAGTGTGACCATTTAGTGATTACATCATGAAACGTACCAAAAAAATTCAAAATTATAAAAAAACAATATTTATCAATATTTCAAGAAAGGTGAAAATTACAAGTTTGAAATATTTCACGCTCATAACCCTAATTTTAGTATACATAGTATAGTATAGTTTATTATTTTATTTTGATTATTATCATTTTTATATTTTTAAAATTGTTTGTATACTGGAAAATAATAAGTCAAAGTTTAACTTAAGTTCATACGTAATAATAACAATATGTCTATTTAATATTTATTTAGTTACCTTAAACATACAGCCAAACGATGCCTAGGTGGTATGCATTTCCTAAAATTGGTGTCTTGTTTTTGTAAGTCATCTTCAATTGTTTTAAGTAAAATGTCGAATGTATTCATTGACATCCTGAAGTATCCATGGAATTTGGTTCCGTCGTCAATGAGTTCTTTGTATAAAGTTTGAAATTCACCTTCAATGTCACGCTTATTCCATGCTGGGTGAACCCAATACTTACGGTGTGCTTGATCTTTTTTTTCCAGCATCGAGCAGTAGAGCTATTATAGCAAGTTCTTCAGTTGAAAAATCCATTTCTATCGACTAAAAAATTCAATTTAAATTGACTAAATACTGTCACACATGGCCGTGTTAAGGTAGAAATGGGAACATTTGCCCCAGGGCGTCCCAGTTTTTTCAAACTATGGACCATCGGACAAATATAAAGCATCCCTAGGTAAGGCTTAAAGAGGGAGGAGCTTAGGTGCCTAATGACTTAACACGGCTCTACTTACACATTGTAATACAATTTAATGAATAAATATCACACAGATAATAGGTATAATTAACGTTAACTGATTACTTACTTAAAGGTTTGAAATTAGGTTTTTACTTGTTCTATACAAAAATCTTAGGTTAACTTCACTTGAGGTACGTAAGCAACTAGCACGTGGTTACTTATTTCGATGCCCGACTTCAACTGATGACTACATTTTCTATTAGCACTGACGGGGCACTGAATAGTGTGAATACCTTACCGGGCCGACCCAGACGTGCCAAAAACTGACACGGACCCGGCTCGGAGCAGTGGGAAAGGACCTTTATTCTATAGAAATTATTTTTCAAAAGTAATTTCCATTACATTTTTGTTACTTGGAAATAATTCTAATGAAATTAAGTAACGCGTTACAAGCAAAGTAACGCGTTACTTTCATTACGTTACTACCCAAAACTGCAAAATATAGAAATTTGATGATGATAATATACTTCGCGTAAACCCAAGGAACCTATTTTCTAACCCATTAATTTGTGTAAAAAAATATATTTTGATACAGGGAGGAAATGTCTTAATCCAAAGATTTAGTTAGTTAAAAAGTGGTATACGTATAGGATTAAAAAGCAATGGACAGAAAACGCCTCCGAAAAAAAAACAGAGATGAAATAAGCTATACAGTTACCACTTGTATATACCATAGGTACTCGTCACATACGCCTTCTTTAAATTTTTTTATACAATATTTTGTAACATTTAATACAATTAATTTATTACAACTCCCGAAATATTATTTACGTACATACATATATTGCTGTAATATACACTAATTTGTTTATCTAAACAATACCAGAGTTAGTACCTTCCAATTTGTTAATAGATTTTATAATGCAACCAGTAATCACTGAATGGTAAGGAAGGTTGAGTTTGAGTCAAAAGAATTAAGAGGGGATTGTGTAACAGTGATTCTCAAATAACTGGGGCTATTTTACTGGGGGGGACGTTAAATATTTATTTTATTTAAACTATTTTCCTTAGGCGTTAAACGTTACTGAAAAAAAATGTTTAACTCAAGTTTAATGGGATTATATGATTAATAAAGTACATAGGTACAATTTTAGTATATAACTAGCTGATCCCGTGCACTTCGTTCCCGTTAAATGTACCAACTCTATATGACTCAAACATTGTTCAATGCGTTATTGAATATTCGGTGTATGATGTTCTAGATTTATCTTAACTTTCTGTTGCCCGGAATAAAAATTCTGAATTGCAGCAGTACATTATCAGATAAGTAATTTACCTGCGGTAGATCGAGGACCCCGTGATGTTTGTACGTAAGTGTATGATTTAACTCAAAAAGTACCAAAGTTATACCAAGTTTGACGTTATTACTTAATTCCACCTACCTATAAATCCTAACCTAACCAACCGTACTAAAATCCGATGAATAAAAAAAAACCAAATTTAACCCTTTTTAAATTAGCGTATCTTCTTCCCATAGGTCATTAATTTATATTATATAAGATATATTTACAAAAATAATAATACAAATCAACAAACATGCCCGATTAACCAATAGCAACCAATATAATATAATACACCATAGAGTAAATAAAGACAACGGTATCGAGTTCAAATCCTAGACATCAATAAATAGTTTTTGCAGTTTTTCTAATTATTCGGTGACTTTTTAAACATTTTCTTTCGTAAAACCTTCACCTGGCAATACAAACATCTTAAAAAAATTTGAGTAAAATCGGCCCAGCCGTTCTCAACTGATGCAATTTCGAATTGTTTGTCTCCATTTTTATATATATAGATTAAGAAAAAAATAACTAAAATTTGAGTAAGGGGGCCTTGACAATTTTGCATTAAATTTAGGGGGCCCCATGACAAATAAGTTTGAGGAACACTGGTGTATCTATCTTGGATATATAGTGAAATAATAAATGTATAGATCAGTTAGGCATCTGGTTATTTTATTGATCATAGCTGCAATAGATTATTTTACCAAATAACTTCTATGAAAAATAGTTTCTGAGAGAGTGAGGGGATCACAATTCCTATTGGCTATTCTAATCCCAGTGGTTGTGGATATAATATGGGACGGTGGTCGTTTGGGCGAAGGTTATAATTTTTACCTATAAATTAATAGTCCGTTTGGGCGAGTATCATATGTACCGTTTGCTCAAGTAGAATTATTTTTACCTGCTCTGGGTAAAAACTTAGATACAGATAATGTCGTTGCTAATCATTATTAATCGCTATAATTGAAATGTAAATGTTCCAAAAACATGATGCAGTTATTTGGTTATTTACAAGTAAACGTTTATAGGCATGTTCAAATTGAAAACAACTTGGGTTGTTGTTAAATCCATTTCTTCCCCGAACTGCACTGAAAAAAGTTTCTAGATGATCCTGCGAACATTTATATGTAAGCATATAACCATGGTTTAATAATTGTTTATGATCTAAAATTTTATTTATTTGTATGCAATTTTCCAAATCTAATATCAACCGAACAAAACCTGTATTTCTGGAATGATTTACTATATTAATTTCTTTGAATATTGTAGAACCTTGATTTTTAGTGACTTCTTTAAGTGTCAAACCCATTACATATGTTTTGAATTGTTCTGTGAACTGTTCATATTTTTTTATTGTTTTTAAACTTAAAGGTTTACCATAAGGAGCTTTGCTAAATTTACTTCGGCTATTTAATATATCAAAAGCTTGAAGTATTCGCAAAACTCAGCTGTTGCAAGAGCATTTTTATAATCAGAATCAGTGTTATGGAGGTATTTCAAAGCTGAATTCACGCTTTCACTTAATACTTGCACTGCTAACTTAACCCTCATTTTTTCATTGTGGTAATGGATATGTCTATTTGTCAATTTTGTAGCTAAATGTAAACCTTGATCCTTTTGTTTTTCATGAAGCATTCTTATAAAATTCCAATCTATACATTCACCTTTACTATTATATATTTTTTGTTTTTCTCCAAAACAGTTGCGAACTAATTTCATCATATGTGCTGCATCCCATATTAAGTAAATTGGTTGTTGTGTAATAGGATGGTCAATGTAAGCCTTCATGTTTTTGGGAGAAAAATTGGCTCCTAATTTAATGCACATTGTTTTATTCACACTCGTTCCATCATATGTGATAGAATGTAAATGAGAGTTTGTTTCATGTAATAAAATAATGCATTTTGTCAATAAATTAGCTCTTTCTTCTCCATTCAGTCCATTAATCGCAAAATATCCTACAGGGATTTTCCAATGACTATTAATGGCAACGGCCATGAAAACAAGGATATTTGTAGCTAGAGGCCTGTCTCGCTCATCTCCATCATACCCGATTTCAGTGCCCATATTTACAAATCCACTCCACTCACTCCCTGTCCATGTTACATTTTTTTTAACTGCCATTTCATCTACTGTTAAGTTGATGGCAACATTTTCATTGGCAGATTTTAAAGAGATTGCATGTAATGCTTCTTGACTAAAACCTGGTTTGCCGTTAATAACTTTGTACCACCGACTGATACTTTTAGGATGAGGTAAGACATTTTTGAATGTGCTACGTACAAAATCATATGCCTTAGCTGAATAAAATTGTAGCGTTACAGCAAATTGTCTAAGCTCAGCAGTAAATTTACCTTTTTTATTTTTAATCATAAGCTCTCTTAATACTGAAGACTGGCAAGACTAAATAAATAATAATTAATTTAGGCATATTATGATTAATTGGTGGTATTAAATATAAAATTTAACAAAGTTACTTTCAGAATTTGTGATGCTTGTTCAGATAACATATTTTGTTTCTCCAGAACCTCTACCATTTCTTTAAGGTTTTTACTTTTTTTAATAATCTTCGATTACACTCTGTTAAACATTTAATCCTTTTATCTTTGAGTACCAATTGGTTTTTAATTAAATTTAAGTTTAATTTAGCTCTTTTAGGTGTTGAAAAGTGTTCATTAGTCAAACTAGCAACATTAGATGGTCTCCAAATTAACCTGTACAAAATGAATCAAAAATAAATTTAAAAATGTTTAATTTGTTACATTACAAAACAATATAAATTTGTAAATTACCTTCTTGCACAGGGTGGTGTATTTATTAACAAATCATTTGATGTCATAATAATATTTCTAGATAATATTGTATTTTCACCATGGTCATTTACACTGGATAAAGAAGTACTAGTAGATAGTTTTGGACTATCAAATATAATATATAATAAATAATAACATTATATACTACACTTTTTTGAATTTTATAAATATTCTAGGTCAAAATATTACCTATTTTGAACATATTGTGGTGTACTTGATTCTGAACAACTTATAGTTTCGTTTTTGCTATATGAGGGAACATATTGTATTTGAATTTGGTCTCTACATTCCAAAAGGTATAATAATCATATGACATTGACGTAAATACATTAAACACATTTTTTTTAAACTACTTTTCACCGTGGTCATTCACACTGGATAAAGAAGTACTAGTAGATATTTTTGGACTGTTAAAAATAATATAATAATAAATAATAATATTATATAGGTACTACACTTTTTGAAATTTTATAAATATTCTATCAAGGTCCAAATAATACCTATTTTCAACATATTGTAGTGTACTTGATTCTGAACAACTTAATATTTTATTTTTGCTATGTGAGGGAACATATTGTATTTCAATTTGGTCTCTAAATTTCCAAAATGTTTAACAATTATATTTATATTACATTGACATAAAATATATACATTTTCTTAAACTTACTCGACAAGTTTTGGGAGTGCATCCTTCTTAAGTCTAGTACTAACATAATCCTCTTTTTTAAAATGTGATGAACATATGTATGAATAATTAGGTAGTATTCCTTTAATTTTGCATTGATTTAACCATTTTTGCCTCATATATGGATTACTAGGGAATCTAATTTAATAAAATGCACAAAGAACAATTAATAATAACTGCCACCCAACAACTACCAAGTTATTGACAGACTTGGGTAAAATACTTTTTAAAAGTATTTCAAATACATATTCTGAATACTTAAAAAAAAGTATTCAGAATAGGTATGTATTCAAATACTTTATGATAATAACATTCTTAAGTATCTAGAATACTTCACATAAAGTATTTCAAATATTTTTTGAATACTTTTTTTCAGTAGATTTAGATTTCAATACCAAAATTATTTTTTCAATTCTGTGTTTATAAAAGTAGATTACTATAATCTCGATAGTACACACCTATCTGGCAATCTATTAGTCATAAATTATATTCAAATTAATATAATTAGTAATGCATAAGAGTATACCTATATAAGAAAAAAAGTATTCCGAATACTGTACTTAGAATACTTGTAAAAAATACCGTATTGAATACTTTCAAAAAAGGTAGCCAAGTCTGGACTTATTAGTTATTGATATATAATTCATCAAATAAATATACTTATGAAATGTTGCCTTTTGATCATTACATTCGCACACAATGCATGTCTTCATAACTGAACTTATTATTCAAATTTATAAATAATATTTATAATAAATGAAAAAACATAAGTTTAAACAATTAATAAATATTTATAAATTTAAATAATGTATTATAATAGGACAATAAATACTTTAATAAAAATAATCTTTTATTTTCGATCTATTAGATAATAGATAATATTAGCCATTAGGTAATAACATAACCTACTTCAATGAATAATATTATTACAATTGTTCATAGTTTCTATAAGTAATAGATATTATAGATTATTTTTATTATAGATATATTTAAATATTGAAAATTATTCCCGCGGTTTTTCAACGCCCGATCCTCGGAACAAGCTCCACCCACTTGCACGCGTTATCATACCTAATGTTCCGTCTATTTCTTTAAGTCTATGCATCCGACTTTGTCCCGTGGGTCCAAGTCCGCCGATCGACGACAACACCTGCCGGTGCGACAACGCACACACGTTCCCCTCTTTTGTCTCCATGGTCTGGGCCACGCCGACTTATTACTTGTTTAGGGATATCGGGCATTATCGGCCAATTAATTTACGTCTCCACATGCTCTCGTTCTGTCTTCCCACTCCCACTATCTCTGTCACCCATCATCTTTTTCGTGCGTTTGTGGCCGAATAAGCCGACGAACTTCACTTCTTTTCCCTACGCCGGTGCAAGCACAATGCTAGGAGAGTAGAGCACCGCGGTCGCCGTAGCGCCATCGGACAGCACTCATGAAAGGAGCATGGTGGTTCGTATATTTACATATTATTACCTATTTATCACCGTGGCCGGTATCCCTACTGTATTATTATTATTATTGCCATATTTGGCTGAATTATTATTATTATTATTGCCATATTTGGCTGCATTATTTGTTGTGTTAGGGTAACACTGTAATATATCATATTCATTTGTATGTGACTGTATGTGTATGTAGTCTCTCTCGCGTCTCGCTTGTTTTGAGTTGCCTCGTCAATTATGTTAAATAAATGTCAAACAATATTATTTTTGTTTACTAATTTCAAATACAACATGGTGTCAGGTGTTGATTCATTATGGGTCGAAAAAAAAAGGATCAAGCAGATAAATCTGGATCACAACATGAGTCAATAAACGAGCCGCAACAAACCACGTGCACTGATACTCAAATTTCTACAAACACATTTACAATGTCGTCAGGTCTTATTGGTAATGTAAGTCAACTATCCTTAGATGGAAATTTATGTCAAATTTGGTCCGATTGGTTGCAAGAGTTCAACATTTATTTGATTGCGAGTGGCTATGATAGTCAGCCAGAAATACGTAAAATATCAATATTTTTACATTTTATTGGTAAAGCTGCTTTAAAAATCTATAATTCATTTAATATTAACATTAAAGAGTTGACATTGGACAATCTAATATTCAAATTTAATGAATATTTTATTCCACGTAAAAATTTTACTGTGGAACGCCATAAATTTTTTACACGCTACCAATTACCTGATGAAAGTATTAATGAACATACCTATAGCAGATTAACAAATAAAAGTAAGTCATGTGAATTTGAGTCTTTACGAGAAAGTCTAATAAAAGATATGTTAATCTGTGGTCTAAATACAAATGAATATGATATATTACAGTGTTACCTTAACACAACATTATTACCATTGTAGTATCATTGCCATATTTGGCTGGTATATGTTATTGTTCTTGTGTGTGTCATTTTTATTTATTTTGTCCGAGTTTTATGCCAGCGGCTTTCTCGGCGCCCACCTTGGAAGTTAAAATAATATAATGATTTTTTTTTACCTACTTAGTGTGTTATGTTTATCATTTCTTATTCTCGTTAGGATTTCCTCATTCCTGGTCTTACCAACTATAAAAAAGGTGGGCAAGTGGGTGTCGCTCTGCTGTACAGTTGGTTACAAGTGGGTCACTGTATAATGGATGGTATTAAATTTGAATTCAATGATATAATATCATTGTATAAGAAAAACGATTCTGAGCGGTGACGGTATGTCAGTCTATGTATAAGACATATTATATACATATCTATGGTATTAAACAAAAAATTGACCTATAATAGGTACCTATAATTAATTCCAAATTAATCATATCACAATATCCATTAGATACTAATAACACGTTATACATCAACAAAAACCGTGATACTATCATAGATATATAATAGTACACTTTAGAAGTTTCAAGTACCCACGAATAATATTATTCAATCACAACAAAATAACTAAAATAGTTATTCTAGGTTTTTTAATATGTAATTTCGTCCAAATTTGAATTTAAAATGTCTGTAAAAAATAAGTGTGTTCATATATTTTTTAGATTTTTTGGTTACAGTATGAACTATTTACGAGAACCTTTGTGTTGAATTTGCAATCCTTAGCTATAAAAACTGAACATTTTATAATTTATTAATTACAATGATTGATAATTTTCGAGATTTTGATAAATTTTGTCAAAATTTGATCTTTAAATGCTTATAAAAAAAAACTGTGCCTATGTATTTTTAATATTTTTCAACTGCTATTGTAACAATATATCAGGAGCCTTGTATTAAATTTTTACACTTTTTGGCCCAACAGATAAAACTTTATTGATATTTATAGAAAAAAAAACTAAAAAAAATTGAAAGCTGTAAATGTCCATAAACATCTCAAAAAGAGTCAAAATATTTTCAAAATTGTATGGTGTATAGAAAATGCTAATTTAAACATTGAGTGAAATTTTCATGTATCTACAGTTGTTCGTTTTTGAATTGCAACAAAATAAGGAAATCGCTACATGAGTAATCGAGTGAATATCCAATGTTGTAAAAATTTGAATTTCAAACGCTCATAAAAATTTAACTTGACTGTCCGGTAGAGATTTTTTATTGATAAAGGTAGATAATCTTATAAGGAATCTTGTGTTTCATTTTCAAATCTTAGATTTAAAAAGAAAAATTTTTACGAATTCTTAACTCAAAATAATTTGCTAATTTTCGTGATTTTTCCATATATTGTAAATTTTTGAACTTTAAATGCTTATAAAAAAAAATTGTGACTAAGGATTTTTAATATTTTTCATCTGCCTTTGAAACAACATATTAGGAGCCTTCTATTAAATTTTCAAGCTTTCGCAACCAACAAATAAAATTTTATTGATATTTCTAGAAAAAAAACTAAAAAAAAATGAAAAATGAAAATGTCCCTAAACAGTTCAAAATAAATCAAAATATTTTGAAAATGTTATCGTGTATAGAAAATGCAAATATAAACAACCAGTGAAAATTTCATGTATCTACGGTCATTTGTTTTAAAGTTACACCAAAAACCAAATTCGATTTTTTGGAAAATCGATTTTGCGTAAAAATTCCCGTTTTTCCTTAATTTTTATGTTGTTTTTCCCGGCGCTTGTGAAAACTACTGGAAAATGTTTACTTTTGACCCCCCAAAGTACCAACTAGATTCACTTTCCTATCAGAAAAGGTACTATTGAAGAAAATCGAAGCACTTTTACTGTCCCAAAACGTGATGACAGACACAAAAATATAAAAATATAAAAATATAAAAATATAAAAATATAAAAATATAAAAACACACATCATTGTAAAACCAATACATTCATCGCTCCGCTCAGAATCTAAAATCCACGGTGCTCCGACCTTTTGGGGTCTCGGCTCGTGGTTTGGCGACCTTACTCGACCACATGACTCTCGGGTCATGAGCAATATGACTCGATTTGTCACAAAGTAATTACGTTACAGTGTCCTAAGTGATGTGTTGTGTGTTATATAATAAACTTTATATGGTACGTCGTAAAAGTTGTTAAAAATGTTGAAAAGTGTAAAAAAGTGTAAAAACTAAAAATTTATATTTTAAAATTAATAATCAATATTTATATTTATATTATTCAATATGGATTTAAGAATTGAACATATTTTAACGACCAAAAGAGGAAAAAGATGTATAGTTATCGAACAATACAAGTACACGGAATCAAATAAATTACAAGACGGAACATATCGATTTCGTTGTACAAACAAAAAATGTAACGTAAGTGTCTTAAGAGATAGTAATGTAAGACATATATTAGAGATGAAAACACAGTTACATTATCATGATCCTAGTACAACTAGGATTAAAAGTGCTTCTAAAAAAATAGCTACTGAACACATACATGAAAAACCTAATAAAATTATTAGGAAAGAATTATTAGCAGACAAGTCAGGACTTCAGGATGAACTTAATCATTCTGATATTAATTTAATCAGGCGATCAATTTATCGTAGCCGAAAACAACAGTACACTATATTACCGAAATCACAAAAAAAGTCATTTGATCAATTTTATTATATGATATGCAATCAACCATTAAATACAAAAATCAGCAATTTTGTTTCGTAAATGAACAAAAATCAATTGTTATTATAACTTGTCAGGACAACTTACGACTTCTATGTAAACCTAAAAATGTCTTTGGAGACGGAACATTTTTGTATTATCCTAAGTTTTTCTGTCAACTTTATACCTACATTACATGTATATACTTACAATTATTATATACCAGTAGCTTATGTATTTTTAACATCAAAATCAAAAAACAATTATTTGATTATGTGGTTTGAAATATGCAAGTCATGTAATGAACTAATTGGCGAAACTCTTCAATTAAATTTTTTTCATTCTGACTTTGAAAAAGCTGTACATTTAGCTACAACTCAAACATTTCCTAACTGTCAGTTAATCACTTGTACTTTTCATTTAGGCCAAAGTTGGTATAGACAAATTGTAAAACATAAAAATTTATCGAAAGCATATTTAATTAAAGATTCTGAAGTCGGATTGTGGCTCAAATGTTTTTTCGGTTTATCATTTTTGCCACCAGTTGAAGTAGGAGACGCATTTACTGAGTTGTTATCAATTATGTTTTGATCAGTTCCGCAAGGATCTCATTTGGGACCACTTCTTTTCCTTATTTTTATTAATGATCTCCCTCATATTCTAGATAGTTCAGTGAATAGTTTGATGTTTGCTGATGATGTTAAAATTTACTGTAAAGTCAAAAATGTTGTTGACCAAAATTTGTTGCAATCTAATTTAAATAAGCTTGAGTTATGGAGTAAAAAAAAACTATTTATCCTTAAACTACGATAAATGTAAAATTATAACTTTTCACGTAGTAAAAGTCATTTTTTTCATAATGATCTTATTGATAACCATCCACTTGAAAGATGTTTTTCTATTACAGATTTAGGTATTTGTTTTGAATTTGATCTGTCTTTCAAAATAAATCATAAAATTATCATAAATAAAGTGTATAAAATGTTGGGTTTTATTACTAGGAATACTAAAGACTTTAGAAATCCTATTTGTTTAAAAAATTTGTATACTTCTTTAGTTAGATCAAACTTGGAATTTGGCTCTTTAATTTGGTCTTGTTGCGAACCAGATGTGGTTACCCTCATTTCTAGGATTTCCCTTTTTAAACCTACAATCTCTAGCATAATGCCGCATATATGCGGATATATATATATATTTCCGCATATATGACAATTACCTTTATTGTACTTTTGCGCTTCCCTTCTAGCCCTATTATTAAAATGATTATTGGACCTTACTTCGCTTGGGGTTATATTTTTATCTTCAATTATTGCAATTTGTATTGCCTGCTCTAATGTGGAGGGATTTTAACCATTACTTTTATTCTATCGGATATCCCCTCCAAAAATACTAACAAGGCCTGCTCTCTTATATTATTCTGAACAGCTAATGCGTCGCTTGCACTTTTACCTTGTGTGCTACCTTCTGATACGGCCTGCACCAAATTACGTAATCTATTAACGTATTCTATTAATGTTTCTTTATATCGCTGTTTCGCGCTAAACAATTCTATTTGCAGATACGCTGCATTTTTGGGTTTATCATATGTATTTTTTAATAACGTTTTCAACATATCCCAACTAGTAATATTTTCGTATTTTATTACCTCGTAAGCTAAACCCTTCATTCGATTTAGGATTGTCCTTAACATTATGTCCTGATTAGCCACCGGAGTTATATCTACTACTAACTCGCATGCATTTATAAAGAATACTAATTTTTCATCTATACCCCCACTAAATTCGGGTACCATTCTTATTACATGCTCTACAGTTTTATCTATACTAACTGCATAATTCATGGTATTAGTCGCGTCCGACTCACTGTTGCTATTACCTCCCATCATACTAACTGGTGATCCAAATACCACACTAAATATATGACTTTTAGAAAGGTCGTCTATTTCAAAACTATCGTCTAACGTTATGTTTAAACTACTACGTTTTGTTGGACTATCTGACATAAGTTACGCTTACCAACTATTGTACATTACTGATTTTTTCATTGAATTGATGTCGACATTCCTAGAAACTCGCTGGTCCACGGCAGATGTTGAATTCTTTCTTGAGAAGTTGATCAGGCCTCCTTTGATTGAATTCGGGTAGGAATCTTCGTCGTGTTGATACGATGTATGTGAAGATCCCTGGTTTCGGCACCAAATTTTTCCTGTTGCGAACCAGATGTGGAGTTCGGTTGACAAGGTCGAATCAAATGAAGTAACAAGTAGTCAAATTAATTATTATTATAAATTTATTGACCAAAGGTTAGTGGTTAATACTTTTAAAGCACTCAGAGTAATGTTACAACTTAAGACAAATATCTCTAGCATGAATACTGTCAACTAGTCGTCACGCAGAAATAGTGTGTCCGGTCTCCCTGCTGGGGAGCCTTTATATAGTAGACAGCAGTCAGATTACATAGTCCTTTACAAGGTCCCACTTAAGTATTCGCTATGGCTCCTCTAGTACTTTAGAAACTAACTTTTCCTTGTGGCACTCGTTAATAGTAATTAATATATTGTGCCACGTACACCACGCGTAATACTGTAGTCATCATATTATATTATTGTGTGGTCCTAGCCTTGGCTATTGCAACACCTCCCCCACAAAACGAGGGCTTATGGTTAAGAAGACCTCTAACTGTTGTCCTACGACTAATATTCAATATTCATACTTTACAAAAAATAATTGCATTACTCTGGTGGTATAATTATTTCCTTAAATTATGTTAGTACATACACAATACAATATTTTACATTTTTTTTTTTATTATTATTATTATATGACAAATTCACAATGATACAACATATACAAAAAATAGTTTTTAAGCGTAACCCTTACATCAACATAGTCAGTAGTTTTTTTATAATCATTTTCTTAAGGCCTAAATACCCGTACAACACCATACATGGAGCTCTACTCGCCCTATTTTTCGGAGTTGAAAGGTATATAAAGCTACATAAATTCGCGGTTATTAAATCTATTTGATCTTTTGTGAAAGGACCCCCTAGCTCTGTGTTGGTGGTACTAATGTGATCCCTTAAGCAAGATGGATTATAATACCTATATGAATCCTTTGGATTCTCATGGAATTGATGGTTCATTGTTATCCTTAGCCGATCTATGAAGTGCCCTAAAAATGCTTAGTCAATTCGTACAGCACTCATTTTCGGGTTACAGTGATTTATACAACATTTTATTCATTTATTTATTATATATTATTATTTTTTTTTTAAATTTAATTTACTATTACTTTAAATAATATGGCGGTTAAAGCATCTATTATTACCGTTTCCGATTGTACGGAATGAAATAGCAAGTGGCATGGGGTTTCGTGCCCCTCTAGAGCCCCTTCCTCATTTTGCCACTCAATGAAGGTGGTCAAAACGTCCTGGATTGCATGTAGCCTTGTATGATTTAAGAGAAACCCGCTTCTCCGATTGGCTCTCGCCAAATGCTTTAGCAGGCAGACCGGCGTTCGACTACCCTCACGTAATTGTGTGGTATGTTCATCCTCGTGTAACGTATATCGGAGATGGTCCATAAACTTAACTAGGTCTCGTGCCGTGCTCATATTTTTCCCTATTAAATATTTTATAATGTAGTTACGTCTACTCTAGGAATTACTATTCTATGACTACGGTATTTTTGTTTGTGTTTATAAGCACTATATAGACTATACACTATCATTATTCCTAATATTATACATAATATTATAATTATTTTTGTATGCATACCACTGGTTGTTTTCAATATACTTTTATCTTTTTCCTCCTGGACAGCGCTTTCCAATTCCTCGATGGTTTTGGAAAAGTCACTAATATCGTTCAGCTTGACTATTGGATTTTGGTGGATAAGTAAACTGTCGAGTTTAGCGCTGGGTAGTAATGGAATTTTTACACTGGTGGGTATGTTCACTGGTGGAATGAAATCGGTATACTGAACGGACTTCAAGTGCCTGTTAGGTGTTAAGACTACTTGTGGTGTATGTGCCCTGCATTGTTCACTTAATGTTATTATACCTACGCCCCTTAGTTGTATATTCTTAGCGTTTTCCCATTGATCGCAGGTGACAGCTACATCATCTAACTTGTTTATTATATAAATCCACTTATTATGATTTTTCAACTTATGGTAGATGCTACGTGATAATTCTAAATATTTTATTGCGCAGGTTCTCGGAATTATCGTTGGCTTCATGAATAATTCAATTTCACATGGTAAACCTGCTGTTCCTAACCTGAGGGGTTGTGTTTCGGGACAAAGTGTCATGCTTATTAATTCTTTACAGCTCATTAAATGGTTTACGGAAATGGTTAAATAGTACTCGTGCGTTTTTGAAATGGCCATGTATTCGAATTCGGGTGTGAGAACTGATGCATATATAGCTGTTCTTTACGTACCGGCAATGGTATTATGTGGTATAGTGTTAATTCTACTGGGTTTAGTAATGGAATTACTAACTCGAATACGAGAGTTCCATTCATATATACTATAGCCAGTTTCGATGTCTTACTTAATTCGTAGAGTGATATATAATTTACATCAAAAGGTAATTTCAACTGCCCGGGCAAACTTATTAATATGTCCCGCAGTTGCATTCTTAATTCTCTAGTGGATATCATACCTGAATGTATTATACCGTTTTGTGCTGCCGATATTATCTCACCTACCATATCTGTTTCGAATACTAATTGCTGCAGTAGCAGTAACAATGTTGTTATTAAATTTGTTGTTGTGGCTCTTATTTCTAACTCATCTAGTTGATACCATACGCGTTTTAAGCTAGTTTCGAGATTTTTACATGATATATTTAAGTTTCTAATTTGGTTTTCCATTAACTGCGCTTCCTTAAATACACTATTTGTTAACTTTAATATACTAGTTTGTTTATCAACTATTTTTAACATGCCTACTCTACTACTTTGGAGTTCCCTTATTTGCGTATTGTACATTTCCCCGTCCTCGTCGTCCAACGTTCCGAATAACGTTTTCTGTATATGTCCTACTATATTGATCAATCCCCGTTTTTCACGTTTGTTTATCTCCTCTACATCTATAGACTGCAACATATTGGACCTTTTTCTACTAATTTCTTGTAATAAAGACGCGGAGGTTAATGCAAAGTTACCACAAGTGGTATTAAATAACTCAGGGCTTTCTTTTTGTAGAGTTTCACATATTTTTTCTGTTTTGTTATAAAAATTAATTGTCTCTATATATCTATTATTATAATTGTCTAAATTAATATATATTAATAATTTCCAATCGGAATTGGTGAACCTTAGTGAACCTCGATTTTCGAAGTAGATCCCACTCTCGTGTGGAATCGTTGAAACATTGTATGGCGAATTTTGCATTTGAACGGCTTGAAAAGCTCCTATTACTATTATGAACCTATAATTAAATTATATTAATGTACATCTATGAGTAAATTAATTATTACTATTCTTTAAATAATTTAACGTGATTTTTATGTAGAGTAGCTATTCGTTTTTCTTTTTGTATTTTTACGTTATATTCTAATACTTTTATTACCGGATACGGTCCCACCCATATTGGTGTGAGCTTATGCTTTCTAGCATGGTCAAGTATTAGTACGCTATCTCCTACATGTATATTCTGTTCATGCTGCCCTTTATCATAGTATTCCTTTGTCCTATGTTTAGTTTTTATGAGCAGTTCCCTTGCAAGTTCGTGTGCTGCTTGCATTTTTTGTTTCATTTCATATGCATAATTATCATATGTATAACATGGTTCTGTTCGTCTTTGTAAAGGTGACGGTAACTCGACTGGGTTACCATACAGTAATTCGTAGGGCTGGAAGTTGGTACTTTCATGTACAGCTGAATTATATGCAAACGTTACGAATGGCAGGTGCTCGCACCAATTTTGTGCGTGCTTATCTATTGTATGCCTGAGCATTTCTTTTATTACCTTATGAGCTCGTTCGAGAGCCCCGTTCGTTTGTGGTCGATATACACTAGACATCATTTTATTAATTTTAAGAATTTTACATACCTCTGTGAATATTTCGATTTTTTCATTGAATTGATGTCGACACTCCTAGAAACTCGCTGGTCCACGGCAGATGTTGAATTCTTTCTTGAGAAGTTGATCAGGCCTCCTTTGATTGAATTCGAAAAGGAATCTTCGTCGTGTTGATACGATGTATGTGAAGATCCCTGGTTTCGGCACCAAATTTTTCCTGTTGCGAACCAGATGTGGAGTTCGGTTGACAAGGTCGAATCAAATGAAGTAACAAGTAGTCAAATTAATTATTATTATAAATTTATTGACCAAAGGTTAGTGGTTAATACTTTTAAAGCACTCAGAGTAATGTTACAACTTAAGACAAATATCTCTAGCATGAATACTGTCAACTAGTCGTCACGCAGAAATAGTGTGTCCGGTCTCCCTGCTGGGGAGCCTTTATATAGTAGACAGCAGTCAGATTACATAGTCCTTTACAAGGTCCCACTTAAGTATTCGCTATGGCTCCTCTAGTACTTTAGAAACTAACTTTTCCTTGTGGCACTCGTTAATAGTAATTAATATATTGTGCCACGTACACCACGCGTAATACTGTAGTCATCATATTATATTATTGTGTGGTCCTAGCCTTGGCTATTGCAACAGTCTAATAACTATTCAACTTACTCAAATGAGCTTAATAATATTCAGTATAAATTTCTGAAAAGAGTTGAATTTATTACTCGTTGTATGATTTCCAGAGACTCGTTTCTGCTGGTTCAAGACTCTTTGGGTATTGACTCTCTTAACATTAGGCGCGATCTAATAGATATGATGTTTGTCTATGATATTTTAAATAATAATGTTAACTGCCCAGCTATTTTAAATTTAATTGGATTTAGAATCCCTAGTAGGTATACGCGAAATTCTAATTTGTTCCATGTACCTAATTTTAATACGAACAGTGGAAAAAATTCTTTTTTCTCGAGAGCTGTTTTTAATGCCAATAGAATCTCCACAGTCTTGGATTTTTTCGTCTTGTCTCGTCAAGTATTTAAAGCTAAAACATTGTTATTTTTAAAACATAATGCCTAATTATTTATTTCTTAGTTTTGTTTTATATACTTAATGTTATCTTTATATTTCCTGTTATTTTTATAAATTTTAATCTTCATCAATGTCTAATAGTTTTCATATTGTGCCAATTCTTATGTATTGTTTTTTTTTCTTTGTTAAAGGGCTTTCGCCCGTTGATTTTTATAAATAAATAAATTATACCAGCCGAAAATGAATGTGTACATTTTGCCGATTATGTCTTGGATACATACATAGACGAAAACTCAGAATTCCCACCTCATTTGTGGGCTTCATCACCAATATTTGACCATCCCAGAACTACAAATGGACCAGAGTCATTCCATTCCCACTATAATAGTCAGTTTTATACAACACACCCTCATATTCACCAAGTCATCGCAGTACTATTAGAAATCCAAACTGAAAGTACAATTAAAATCAATTTCATTTTAAAAAAAGTCCCTAACGTTCAACGAAAAGAAATCACAGAAAAAAAACAGTTCGTGCAAGAAACATGGAATAAATATATGAGAGGAGATATTGACCCATTACAATACATAAAATGCTTAGGTTTAAAATACCAGGCCAATAGATTAATATAAAATGTATTAAAAATTAAAATGGTATACAAACCAATTTAAAAATATTATAATATTACCTATATGACGTGTTATTGTAATAATTAATTTTTTTACTCTAGATCATACTCTACGCCCATAATATGTATGGGTAGGCACAGCTTTCCGGTTTGTACCAATGTATAAATTATACTTGCTGGATATAAAAAGATAATGATGACGGCATTTTAAAATACTATAGGTAACAGTGTAAAAAACCAAAGGTTATTTTTCGCCTAATGCACTGCTAGTATACCATTACGATAAGATTGTTAGATTTTACCCAGCAGTTATAGTGCAATACCTATGTCTAATTTTGATCCTGTATAGGTATTGCGGAGCCCTGTAAACCTGAACACCTGCCCCGCTAATTTTTTATTAAATGAATAAAATGAGATATATTTTATTCGAATTTCTTCATTTCTTCTCTAACTATGGGTGGTATGAGATCAAACTTTGCTTCGTCCAAAATCTGCGTGGTGCTTATTTAAATTATTTGAATTCTAATGTAATATTAAAACATTTTGGTTCAGTTTAATTTTCCTGCAATGGATGGTAAGTTCTAGCATTTTTTATCTTATTATTGATGATGTTCAGATTATTTGATTTATCTGATTATTGATGTTCAATTATGTTCAAGAATTTCGTGAAAGATCATGTTCTAGATCGCCACTTTTGCCTCGTGGTGGTATTGATGTAGTTGGGGAATTTTTAGAGGTCGAACAATTTTCGCTGACCCCGATGGGTATACACATGTTCAAAACCGAGAGTCTACAAATCGAAGGTCTGCTGAAAAATAATTATAATATTGAATAACTTAGATAATTAAAAAATATTTATTTATATAAATTGCTAATATTATCTCTAGACAATTGCGGTGTTCGCGATATGAACAAGGTTGTGGAGCAACAGCTTCAATGGCGCTGGTACCTGAAAATGCGCGTATTGTATTGTACCAAACATACAACCACAGACCTGGTCACGAAATTGAGTTAGGTCAGTTTTTACAAAATTTAAGAGATCGAGCTATGGTGAAAGGTGTCTGCGAGAGCAATTTATGAGGAGGCAGCTAGAAGGTAATAATTTCTGTTTTTTTTTAACCTGTGAAATAGATGCTATATTTTTATTAAATACAGTCACATAATAATACAATATGCTATTGATATTCCAAATACATTTTTGACTATAACAACATTTGTAGATACCCAAATGCGGCTAGAGTTGTACGGCAAGCTCGAAGAACTGTTTCACTCCCAATATCAGCCAATTTGAGGTCAATGGGAGAGACAATATCCTCTGTTAGGTGGCAACGTCGTCTGTCATTTATGGCAGATGATATCAACAATGTATCATTCTACCAAGGTCCCCTTGAATTTATTCAATATTTGGAGGTTTATTGTTTGCAAACATTGATTTTATATGGCATCATGCACCATTCCTCCGAAGAGCTCAAGTTTTAGCCGTAGATGGCACTTTTGGAGTAGTACCAAATTTTCCAGGAGGTATTGATCAATTAGTGACCATACATGCAGTCCTGGATAACATTGTAAGATTTAACAGAATAGAAGTTTCTGTATTTTCAAAATAATTCCTGATTAATTACTGTTGATTCCATTTATAGTAATATTATAAATGTAAAAGTATAATATAAAATATCATTAGTTATTACTTAAGCTAATCAGTTGTTATTTATTTTATTCTATCTTGCAGTCCATTCCTCATGTTTATGCACTTACAAATCAAAGAACAGAGTCGGTATACATAAGATTGTGGCAGTTTTTATCAATGGATCTACCTTTTGAACTTTTTGAATGGAATAGAATGCAAGTTATTGCAGACTTTGAAATGGCTCAACGAAATGCTATTCGAAGAGTAATACCGGACTGTCAATTAGTTGGTTGTTGGTCCATTTCAACCAGGTTAACACATTCTCATATAAAATTTGAACTACAAAAATAATATATTCTATCATTAAAATAAATTGATGTATAGTGTATACTTATATAGTATTACAATTAATAAAATATTTTTGATTACAGAGCATTGTAAGATATATTCGAACACATGGCATGACTGAAATTGTTCGCAACAACTATGGTGTAGCCACTGTTATCCGAATGGTAATCTTATAACACCATATAATTGTCATCCTATAAAAGTTTATAATATTTACTTATTGTTTTAATAAAAGATCACTGCACTACCACATTTACCACCGGAAATGGACCCTCAATTGCCGAATGACTTCCATATAACTGGAGGATTTTTTGTGATCCAACAATTGGCGAGGCTCATGGACATGAGATACGTTGATGATATGTTAAATTACATTCAACATTACTGGATCGATACTGTAGGTCCAATTGGATTTTCAGTGTATGGGTTAAATATACGGACAAATAACTATGTGGAAAGTTTCCATAGCATGCTCAAAACCACCATTGGTCAACATCCTCCAATTTGGACATTCTATGGTAAGCTTTGTAAAATATTTAGTTAAGTTATAATAATAATATTTCTTTATTACGGAAATAAATTCCAATTACAGTTTTTTTTTTTTTCATATAATATAATATATATAATATATTGTACACGTACATTAACAGTAAAATGAGTTATATATAACAATAATTTTAATAACAATGATAATAATAATAATAAAAATAACTTGAAATTTAAAGAGCAAATAGGTATTAATATCATACAATAAATATTTAAATATTTAAATTTCTATAAGCTATCATCAGCTAATAATAATATTTTAGAATGAGAGATTACATCTGATATATCATTTATAAAAAGGCAAAATAATATTGGGGATAAATGGTCTCCTTGGGGGACACCGGAAGTAACGAGAATTTGTTCAGAGACATAATTTTTATATTTTACAATTTGGGTGCGTCCAGAGATGAAAGAATAAAACCAAGAAAGAAGTGGTTCAGTGAATCCATACGTTTTAAATTTATTTATTAATAATTTATGATTAACCCTATCGAAGGCTTTTTCCATATCGGTATATATGACATCAGTTTGTGATTGCATTTCAAAAGAATCCAAGATTGCGTGTTTAAATATGCACAAATTTGTTATTGTTGATCTATTTTGCCTAAATCCATGTTGGTCATTTGATAATAATTTATTGCATAAAGGTGTGATAATATTATTCACCAATTTTGAAAATAATTTAGGTATTATTGACAATTTAGATATAGGACGATAATTGTTTATTAAACATATGTTGCCTTTTTTGAAAGTCGGGGTTATATATGAGGATTTCCATTGTTCTGGAAAGATACCTGATAACAATGACTTATTAAATAAAAAGGTTATAGCTGGAGTGAGTATGAATGCACACTTCTTTAAAAATAATGACGAAATTTCATCAGGACCAATTGCTGTTTTATAACTAATATTCCAAAGTTCATTGAAAATATCTATCTGTTTTAATTCAATTTTATTAATTGTTTCGATATTATTTTATTTAAATTAATTTCTGGGCAGGTTATATCGTTTGTGATGTATATATTAGAGAAGTATTCTTTAAATAAATTAACAATATCGTTACCATTATTCTTTATCTAGGTATGGCATAGTGTTTGGTAATTTGTGACTATTTTTATTATTTTCATTTACAAATTTCCAAAACAATTTTGGATTTGATTTAACCGCGTTCTGTGAAATTTGTATGTGTAATGTATAATCACGATGCCTCAAGTGCTTACATTTGGTTTGAAGATTAGAAAATTTCTGATAATTTGTTATGTTGTTTGAGTACTTATAATTATTATGAGCAATTTGTTTTTGTTTTATGAGAGTTCTTAGTTCCTTACTAAACCATTTCGGATATTCGGATTCGCGAATTTGAATTTTAGGAATAAAGTGATCCATAATATAACGAATATGATAATAAAATAAATTTAAACAGTTTTCGATGCTATTTTTATTAAAATATTCTATAAAATCAACATTTCCTAGTTATTTAATAATTGAAATGTAATTACCTGCACGCCAATTATACGTATAATCATAACAAGATAGATAATTTGTTTTATGATGTGTAAAAGTAACAGTTATTGGTGGGTGATATATATCAATATATATATATATATATATATATATTATAGTCAATTACAAAAATTTTCTTTGTGCCATATTTGGCACATCATGCATTAATGACAATTACCAATATTTTTGTCTGTGACATATTTGGCACACCATGCATTATTGTCAATAACCAATATTTTGTTTATGTTTGTTAAAATAGGCATAAAAAAAACTATTTTCAAAATATGTATTTTAATAAACTTAAATTTATTGACAAAAAAATATAACTTTAAGACCACTTTAGTAAAACCTTCTTTGGTAAAACTTAATACATATGAGTAAACAATAAATAAAACAAAATACTTAAATTGTATAAAAAAAGCAATAAACTAATAAATTAATAATCATTAAAATTACTGAGTATGGAATAACAAAAAACAATTTCTTTTGTCATTAATACATAAAGGTAATTGACACTTGGTACAATAAAATAAAGTTTTATTTTTACATGTTGGATACTTGCAGCGACTTCTTTTGTCGTGAAAGGGATAATGGTCCATACCATCCAAACGAACATCTTCTGCAGGAAGTTCAGTGCATGGTCCCCTTTTTTTTTTTTTATCAATAAGTCCTTGTATTCTATTTTCTTCAGCAGTAGGTCGGCCTTTTCTCTTTGGAGTAGTTCTCTTCATTTCACAAAGAACTTCTGAAATCAATATTTTGAAGTCCACTAAAGATAGGTATGGTTCACTTGGATGGACTCGTCTGTATAATAACCATGCATTGACAACACATAGGTCTATCAAATGATAAAATATTTTCATATAATATTTCTTAGAACTTAATGGAATTCTGTAGTACCCCAACATAGAATCAATAAGATCAACACCTCCCATGTATGAATTATAAACTCCAACTACATTTGGACAAGTTATAATTTTATGTCTGTTTTCTGATTTAAAAAAACGTTTTTTTTCTATAACAGGTTGACTTCCGGCATATGTTGAAACCATATTTACAATTTTATTATCCAACCAACTTACAGCAATAATTGTAACTCCATCTACATTAGTAATCATCTCACAGAAACTCCCACGTCCTTTTTTTTTTGAAACATTTTTCAGTTGGCATTTTCAAACCTGACAATCTATTCAATCGAGCAGTACCTATTGGTAAAATACCTTCCTTATGTAAATATATTAATAAAGGGATGGAAGTAAACCAATTGTCAAAAAATATTTTATAATTACAGTGTCTTGGTATAAAGTTACTCATTCTAAGAACTACATTGCTACTGACTGACATATTTGGACAGGAGTTAGGAATGATATTACTTTGAGCTCCAGCAAAAATATCAAAATCATAACAGAATCCTGATACACCACTCAAAACAAAAACTTTATAACAACATTTATGGGGCTTTTTGGGGTTATATTGTTTGAGTGATGTTCTACTTTTGGTAGGGATTATTTGTTCATCCACTGCTAAATGTTCTTCCTTAGGTATACTTCTAATAATATTTAGAATTTGTTCACATAAAGCTCTGACTTTGTAAAGTTTATCATAATCTGCATTGTTTCTTTCTGGCAATTTGCTGTTATCGTTGAAATTAATAAAACGTTTTATTTCTTCAAATCTGTTTACAGACATGACATTATATATTGAAGGTGTACCCAGATTTCCCCAATGGTGACGTACAGAGGGTAGCTTACAAACTGACATTTTTAAACATATACCAATAAATTGTTCTATTTCTTTTACACAAATATTTGGCAGTTTATTAGGACTAATTTGTGATGCATAAATATTAGTTTGATCAGTTATATATTGTATAAGTGTGGATGGAAATAAAAAACTGAAAAACTGATATGGATCAGTTAGCGACAAAATATTTTCTGGTAATGTTGTATCACCAGTAAATGTTATTGTTTCTGGATTTGTAATATAATTTTCCTCTAACCAAACTGGTTTTGGTTCCTTAGCTTTTTTTGATTTATTGGAAACTAACCTACTAAGTCGTATAGAAAGGGGTACATCATTTTCATCTTCTGAGGCAATTTCATCATCAGATGCAGGAATGACTAAATAATCTCCATTAGTAGGAATATCATCATCAGTATCAGAAACAACACATCTATCTTGTGGTAGTAAAGGTGTGTACAAATCCTCATCATCAGACCATTCAGATTCAGAACTGCCATCAGGTATACTTTGCAGGCGGTTATAAAATTTAGATGCTTTTATTTTCAACTTATTATATTTCAGCTATATAGAAAACATATGTAAAATAAAAAAAAATAAAGTTAATGATAATTAAAATTGAATTGCATTATTAGCATAAAAATAAAAACATCTATATAGCATTATAGCACAGAGTAAGGTAGGTTCTTATATGAATATTTAAAAAAATAGTCATGTCATTCGTACATGTTGTGCCATATTTGGCACAGATATACATTTGAATATTTCTCAGAGGATAATTTAAATAAAATTAAAGACTTACCTTCATTCGATTCATCATGAAATTTCAAATCTGGTAGTATTTTTTATAACAAAAAAACCAAGTGTGTTACCAGTACGCGCGCGGGAAGTTAAACTTCTTTTGAATGGTTCACGTGAGTGAGTGAAAAAGAAAGAAAAAAATTTTAATTAATTTAAAAAATGAGAAGAAGTATCCGGAATTATTTATCATTGATAGTTTTATTATTTTTTTTATATTTTTATTCGACAGATCGATGGATAATTGTTTGTAGTATTGTTTTTATCCAGACAGTAGATTTGTGAGTGAATACTAATAATAATAATAAAAATAAATAATAATCGATCATTAATTATTCATATTAATTAGTATGGCCCGATTATAATATATAATACTAGCTGATCCCGTGCACTTCGTCGCCCTTTAAATGTATCAACTCAATATGAGTTATGACTCAAACTTTGTTCAATTCGTTATTCAATATTCGGTGTATGGTGTTCAAAATTTATCTTATCTTTTCCGAAATTCTGAATCGCAGCAGTACATTATCAGGTAGGCAATCTACCTGCGGTAGATCGCGGACCCCGTGCTGTTTGTACGGAAGTGTATGATTTAACTCTAAATTATCAAAGTTATACCAAGTTTATTTTGATATAATACGGTGGATTAATATAACAAATTTGGTTGCTCGTAAAAATCACAACTCTTAAAAAAATTATGATTGTTGAACTCCTTTTGGGTGTAACTTGCTGGGGTAAGTGCAACTCAGCCACCCTGGTAGGCAATGTTCAATAATTTGATTTGATGCAAGCTTGTACCTGATCTGCCCAAATAAATAAATGCTAATTTCTAATGTAGACTGTAACCAATGGCAACTGTTAATAAATAAAAATAAAATTTCCAATTTCCATCTTGAATCTCAATGTCCCTGTTTGAGCACCTATTTAAAATGCGAATTTCGAAAAATCCTTTCTTAGCCCACGTCTACATCATAATAGCTATCTGTATGCCAAATTTCAGCCAGATCCGTCCAATGGTTTGAGCTGTGCGTTGATAGCAGTCAATCAGCTTACTGTTTTATATATACAGATATATATATATATTATAATATATAATAAAACAACATTACCATGACAATATTTATTTATTTACGGACATGTACGCTTTCGCGTTCGTATGGCCGCCCGTTCGCTTTTTTTTTTCCTCACTACCGCGCGTAAAGAAGTATAACTTCAAAATCGTACATACACGTGAGGTGTTATCGTTGTTTGAAGTGAACACCACAAGTGATAATGTAACATTTGTTTATCATAAAAGTTATTTGATAGTAACATAAACAGTTTTAATCCTAGAGCGCAGCACCTTGCATAGTTTTTATAGATCTGTTCGTGCCAAATCTGGTCATGCATGCAGTTTTGGAATATCTCAAATAATGAATAAACTATTAAGAAAAAACTTATTTGTGCCACATAGGGTACAATATGCAGTAAGGGGTTACATAAATCGACATCAGTAGTGGTAGAATTTGTTAAGACGTAATCCAGGATAGTATTTTTATTATTTTTTATACAATTTAATTGAGACAGATTTAAAAGTGATAATTTATCATCAAAATAAGAGTATACGTTTGAAAAATTTGCTGACGGTAAGTTAAAGTATCCAAACAGTAAGAAAATAGCATTTTGGTATTTTTTATACAATGATTCGATATAATCAAAATACGAATTAAATACATTTTCATTAGATTTATTTGGAATATACACAGAACCAATAATAATAGTGAGATTAGAAATATTTAAAAGTACAAATAATAATTCTATAGAATTATTTTCAATTACAATAAGCTTTGAATGAAGATTATTTCGAACAGCGATAAGTACACCACCGCCTCTAGATAACATACTTGTTTGTGTTGTTCTATCATATCTGTATATATCATAATTATGAAAACCCAATTCTGATGACATAACATTATTTGTTAGCCAGGTTTCAGTAAATATAAAAATATCATCTAGTGCACACGGGAGTTGAGATTTCAAATATGACAATTTATTATTTAAACTACGGACGTTTTGATAGTAAAAATTTAAGCTGGTGGGTGGTGTATTTTTCAGTTTTTTGAAGTATTAATGATTTTTGGAATACCTTTTACGTACTTGATAATTAAATTTTGTTCACCTTTTTCTCTGCGATTTTGTAACGTGTTTCTGAGATTTGCCATTTCATTTCGCTGTTTGGTTGTTTTGTCTGAAGAGAAGTGAATATTTGACCATTTCGTTGAGTTTTTTAGGATTTTTTGTGCTCGTAAAATAGAGAAAACATCGGACTGCTCAGTAAGACGAATTTTTATGGGTCGTGGTCTATCGTGGATAGTGGATTTTGTTCTTGAAAGACGAGAAAACTTAAAATCTCCGATATTCTCGTTTAAGTCAGTAAAAATATTTTTAATATTTTCTAAGTCATTATCATTTTCGTTTTCAGGTAGATTAAATAATATTACATTATTCGATCTAACTTGCCTATCCATTAACTCTTCGATGACATAGTGTTCAAATGAGAAATGTTGGGTTTGGGTTTTATTATTTTCTATACATAATATACGTTCTTCAATATTCGTAATTTTTAATTTGAGATCGCGATTTTGATTTTGATAAATTTAAATCACGCTACAATATTTCTTTTAAAGTGGTTTGCGGCGAGAGTAAATCGGTTGATACGGAAACAGTGGACGAATGGCGTATAAAAGTCAAAAAATTAATTTCTTCTTATGAGCCACGAAATATTTACAATGCAGATGAAACAGGATTATTTTATAAAATTCTTCATAATAAAACATTAAGTTTTAAAAATGAAATTTGTACTTCTGGGAAAAAGTCTAAAGAGAGATTCATGGTCATGTTATGAGTTAATTTAATAGGTGAATTTGAAAAGCCACTAATCATAGGTAAATCTAAGAAACCTCGTTGCTTTAAGAATGTGGACATAAAACGCTTAGACCTACACTGGGAGGCAAATAAAAAAGCATTGATGACACGATGTATAATGACTGAGTGGTTAATGTGGTTTGATGAAAAAATGAAAAACAAAAGCGTAAAATTATTTTGTTTTTAGATAATGCAACATCACATCCTGATTTAAAACTACAAAACATAAACTTAGTATTTTTACCACCAAATACGACGTCACACTGTCAGCCTCTAGATCAAGGTATAATCCAAAATTTTAAAGTTATTTACCGACAAATGATACTTAGGCGAATATTATCACAGATAGACGTAGTAAAAGATGCTAATGAACTTGCAAAAAGCATTACTGTATTAGACGCTTAGATGTGGATTAAACAGTCTGTAAAGCAAATAATTGGTAGTTGTGTTACTAAATGTTTTAAAAAATCAGGTTTTATTTTGGAAAATTTGCCTGTAGATTTAGATAACACAGATCTTGAAAACGAAATAATTGTTGGTGAACAATTAGTTAATATGCTGCCAACTCATATGCAAGGTGAAGAGTTTTTTTTTGGTCGACAAAAATCTAAGAACTGAAGAAGATAGTACTGATATCAAGTCATTCATAATAACAGATAATGACGAAGAGGAAACACATGAAGAAACTGGAGAAACTGAAAAAACTGAAGAACCCGAGTACAGTGAAACCTCCCTTAACGGACACCTCTAAATAGCGGACGTTTTTTCGGGGACGGGAACATTTTCACTATTTATGTATAGGAAAACCTCTAAATACAGAACACTCTAAATAACGGACACTTTTATGACGTTGATATTAGTTATTTTTATCTTAAATTAAGAATTATTTTGGAATACCTGAATAAAAACCTGAATTATTAAGTTATCTTATGTGTACATTATTATACTGTATATGAAAATCTTATCTAGAAAATTCCTTAACATACGAAATAACTATGCCTGCAATTAGTAAACAAACTAAAGTAACAGATTTTTTTAAGATGTATGTATTTAATTAATGTAAAAATTAAAATACAAATTTAGGTAACTGTTTTTTTTTCATAAATGTTAGTTTTATCGTGTATTCAATTAATGTAAAAATAATATAAAATAAAATTAATGAATTTATTTATTTGTTAAAAAAAAATGTTTTCCTCTAAATAGCGGACAAAATTTCGGCGACCGATAGTGTCCGCTATTCAGAGGTTTCACTGTACACTGTATCAAACTATTCTGAGGTTTTAACTCAAATAAAACAATTATTAGCTTTCACTCTTCAAAAAGGTGACGTATATGGTTATGACATGTTAAAAACCACAGAAATTTATTTTGAAAAAAAGTGTTCAAATAATCAAATGAATCTAAAACAAACTAATATAACTCAATTTTTTTAATTTTCAACTGTACCTACCTACCTACATTATTTCGTAAATAATAAATACAATTTTTAATACCTATATTCATATGCGTAATTTTAATATTGGTGTTTTATTTTTAAAATTTGTATGACCTCTATATAGCGGTCACCTGGAAGGTCTTGAACTTCTGTTAACGGTCACCTCTGTAGGACGGGCACCTCTAAATAGCTATTTATAGGTTAGGTTATATATTTATATACCACTCAATTTTTTTATAGTACATCGGGAAGATGATATTCAGCAGTTACCACCAGTTCAACTTGAACCGCTGTTACCGCCTCCTCTAATGGAAAATAATGGCCGTCAAATAGCACAAAGACGAGGACGTGGAGGGCGTTGTAACCGTATTATCCTTAAAATTCCAAGACGACGCGGACGACCTCGTGGTCAAGGGCAACCAGGTAGAGATCGTGGGCAACTAGTAGGTAAGTTTACAACCTAATGATATTTTAGATTATAAAATTGTATATGTTTTAACTATTTATTCTAGATGTACTTGTTGAACCAGTAGTAGGAGAAGATATGTTATCATTGTTAGACCGGACTCCCCTAATTTTGAAGGTTGGCATATTATTTGATTTTTTAAAGTACTTTTATAACTTTTAATTATTAATACCAGATGTACTTGTTTGTAGAACCAGCAATAGGGGAAGATGAAGTTATAGTCGTTGGACCGAACGAAGCTAATTTTGAAGGTATATTCACAAATCATGTGACTTAATCATTTTGACTTGACTTTGAATCAAATTTTAATAACTGGTATTTAAGTATATTTCTACCTTTAGATATTTCTTATGAAGAAGGATTTCATCAACCAGTTGAGCCAATTGTACAACCAAATTCTCCTGTAATTGAAGGTATTTGATAATATGTTAATAAAACACTAATTAATATTTAAACAAACATTTACAAATTTGAGAAACACTTAACAGAGAATTTAATATAATTTTAATAGTACCTGATGTGGTTATAGCAGAACAAGCAAGGCCTCTACAAAATATACCACTTGCCAATAGTAAGCTATAGTCTATAAGTAAATTAATGATAAACAAACATTTAAAATACCACATCATTTGTATACAGATGATCATCTATTGGACAGGTGTTTTATCTGTCTTAATGACCACGCAGATGTTGATAGTGCAAACATTCTTATCCCATGTGGACATGGATGGTGTTGCGATTCATGTGGATTAAGGCTCAACAAATGTCCAATTTGCACAGACCAATTTCCGCGGATGCAAAGAATCCAGATTATGCACATTAACTACCTATGGAACACAGAGTAAATACTTTAATTAATTACTTTATTTTATATTTAGGCAAGTCATTTTTTATTTTATAGGAACCTGGATACAAAATAATAACTTGGCTGATCCGACTGGAAGTCAATGCTTGGGATGCACAAGACAAATGAGGGATGTACCAAATAGGGCACGCTACATCTATATTTATTGCGGGCACGTATGGTTTTGTTCGGATTGCATCTTGCCATTACCAGCTATGTGTGAGATATGCAATGATACTGTAGATGGTAGCATAAAAATGTACATAATATGATATAATGGAAAATATTGATGTTGTAGCTTAAACATTTTTAATGGTAATATGAACCTATTGTTAAATTATTGTATACACAAGTAGAATAATTATAATTTTTTTTTCTTATTTCAAATAAACAAGCAGTAATTTATTAGTTAAGCTGTTTCTAGTTTCTACATATTTTAGCTCACAACATTTTTTCAAACAGAGTAAAAAGGATATTATAGTGAAACCTCCACTAACGGACACCTCCCAATAGCGGACGTTTTTTGGGGAACGGGGACATTTTTATTACTTTTCAATAGGAAAACCTCCGAATAGCGGACTCTCCGAATAACGGACATTATTTTACTAGTTAATTTTTAAAATAATGGTAAATCCCTAATCATTATTTGAAAATAATACGTATTCACATTCGTATGTACTCTCGTAATAATGTAATTACGATAACAAACTCGTTCTGGGACGATAAGATTACGAAAAATTCGGTGAAGCGGTTATGTGTTATGACAAAAGTATATCAGTTAGTAACGGTTTTCGACGCGATGACTACGTTAAAACGAAAGCGGTTGTCGCTTCGCGAAAAAGTTGACATTTTAAATTACCGTAAAAACATTGGAAACGTAGGAATTCGGGCACTCGCAGAAAAGTTTCAAGTTGGAAAAACACAGATCGCGGATATTGTGTCTAACACAGAAGAAATTTATAAAGCGTGGGTTGAAAATGGAAATGAAGAAGGAAAAACCTAGAAACCTAAAGGTTTTCTTTAGTTAATTTTGGTGACCGAGAGTGTCCGCTATTCAGAGGTTTCACTGTATATCATTTTTAAGGAAATGAGGGATGATTTTATTATAAATGTAAGATATGACAAAATTAGTCATATCAAAATACATTTATGGGATAAAAAGTTTTTAATTAATTAAAACAGAAGTTAAAAATTGAAATAATTTATGCATACCTAGTATGCTAGTATGTTATTAATGGAATGCATGGTAATTATTCCCTGGCCGTTCTTTAGCTGGGCTTAAAGTGACACAAAATAGAGAGTGAACTATAACTTATTGAGTGAAAACCATTATCTGAAATAAATCTTGTTTTTTTTTAAAATTTTTTATGTCATTACCTTGTAAAAAATAGCGGAGGAGGGTCCTTATTGCATTAGTATTTCTTGAATCTAAGCTAAATACCCATTCTACCCCATATTAGAAACTTAATTATGAAATTTTATATTTTTGCAACAAATTCTTTTAATTTAAGCTCTAGCACCCATTTCTCCAGAAGTGTGTGATACTTAGATAAGTAAACAAATATTAAGTAAAACAGTATGTTCTTGAAATAAAACAATATAAATAATATAATAGGAAACATTAATTATATTTTTTATATTTGGTAGTAGGTGCATACTTACTAAGTTCAATCAATAATACGTGTAAAACACGCATAGTTGTGGTTCTCAGAATGCCAACATATAAAATAACAAAATAAAGTGAATATAATGTAGTTAATTCATAGTATGAAATAGTGAACGCTTGGGCACATTCAAACATTAGGTATTTCATTGATCATATATTAATTAAAACAAATGTTTAAGCTTTTAATTCATGTCCAGTATTGTTTACACAATAAATTTATTTAAATACATGGATATTTTCATTGTATAATCAGTAACCTAATTGTATATTCTATGGGAAGCGTTTTGTTTGATGCATAGAAATGGATTATCCAAAATCTTATAGCAATTGGTAATACGATGTAACTTACCAGATTATTTTGTATTGTGATCTTACAGATACAGTTGACAGCAGTACACTAATACTACAGTAGTAAAGACTTCCAAGGTTTAAGTCCTGTTTTCCAACTCCTAAGAGTTATTTCTTACCATAAAATACTCAAATGACAAATACTGAAAATTGAAATACCGGATTTGTGAATGGTTCGATATTTTAGATGGTAAAATTGTACAAAACTTAACTATTGTCTGTGGCCGCAGGCCGGACTTCGATGTGCAGGACAGTGGTATTATAATAATTTATAATATTATAGTATTATCACAGACTATATCATAATAATATATAGTCTGGTATTATCAATAGTTTTATATACCTAATTCTAGTTCCATAAGTATCCACTATGACGGCGGTAGTAATGCTAAAAGGAAAATATCCCCCCGAACTCCGCCTGTTGTACTACATTTCGTAACCACAATATTCATCTCGTGTCCAGTCGTGTATATCTTAGTTCGTGCTATTTACTATCGTTGTAAAGTAGATATCGTGGTAATGTATTATCGTAGAATTTGATAGTCGAAGTAATTTATGTTCGAAGCATATGCACGAATGGATATTAAAATACAAATTCGGAGTAAAACCGATATTGCTTATCACGCATTATTTTATGGATGAAAATTATAATTTTTAGATTTATTTCATTCCTTATCACGAAATATGTTGTTATCACTGTTAACATCGACACCAACGTTTTCGTTTGAATCACGGACTATGATTAACAGGACTGGAAACGAACAATAGTGCACTGTGTTATGACAAGATACACATCTGTTACGGAAAGTCAACGAGCGATTGCAGCGCCATCTCCTAGTTAATTTATGTACAAACCTTATTGTTGAGTGTTGAGTCCATTTGACCTACCCAAATATCCTCGGTACCCAAACAATCTTAAAATCTTATTACTACCCCCAAAAAAATGAACTTAATATTAATTAGAATATTAAATTAATTAACTAATTAGTAGTTATTTACATTGAAACAGACTCCCTGGCTATTTGATTATAAAACTCTGAATTGTCTAAAAATTACTGACTAAAAAGTCTGTGCTAAAAATAAACAAAAATGACGACTTACGTACACATGCATAATAGTTATTTTATTTGTTGTATACAATTCCCATTCATCCGTATTCATTGGAAAATATTACGTGTTATATTAAATACCAACTGTGACGAGGTGTATAATATCTTAATATATTTTAAAATGGTCTATAAGTGCTCAGTATTGAATTGTAAGAGTCATGACAAAACATTTAGAAAATGTACTCTATTTTCTGTACCTGCTGACCCCATATTAAATGAATTATGGAATAAGGTAATTTATGAAAATAATAAAAAAGTTACTGCTGTGAAAAATATATGTGAATTGCATTTTAAAAAATAATTACTAAATTATACTATTATAGTTTTAAAAATAATAAATTTTTTTTATTCATTATTAATTTTTGTACTTTATAGTTTAAAACATTTGATATTATGTACATTATAGTTTATTCATTTAACACAATAAAATAAATATAAGATGTTCACTAATACTTAATGTCTTAATAGGTACTATGTGAAGTTTATAACAATTAATAAACTTAAATAAGTTGAAAAATAACTCAATATCTATGGGTTAATATTATAGGTACATATTTTTTAAGAAAGTGCACTATTAATTAAAACCAGATTTTGAATAAAATTATATACCTGATGATTTTTTTTCAAATCAAATTTTATGTTAAAATTACATATTTTGGATCTTTAATAGTTGTATTAAATTATTTTATATATTTAATACTTAATAGTATTTTGTATTTGGATTTTACTGTATTCAGTGACTTACTCAATTTTGTAATATAAAACTAATAGATAGCGCTACAATCGCTCATTGACTTTCCGTAACAGATCTGTATCAAATGATAAAGGTTCGTTTCCAGTCCTGTTAATCATAGTCCGTGGTTTGAATTGTTAATTGATAACGAACATTTTAAATCCAATTATTATTATATTTACATATTTTGAATTTAAGATTTAGCAATGATAGAACTATACTACAATTATCATACTTGTCTAGTATGAATCTACAACTTGTAAAGACTGTTTTTCAATCACTAACTTATTTTTATCTAATAATATTGTATAAGAAATCAACAATTTCGTAAAAATTATGCTTTGGGGCAAAAGCGATTGTTTATTAGTTTTAATAATGCTTAATCGTTGATATCTATCTATTTTGAGTAAGGATTAAGTTCACCTTAGACCTAACTAATAAATACTTATTTTATTAAGAAGCAAAAATTTTTAAAAATGGTTCGAAATTATATAAGAAAGTCCAAACGGCAAAATTGGTGTGTGGATAATTTAAGAAATGCAATTAAAGACATTATCTATAATAATTTAAGTTATACAAGAGCTGTCGATGAATACAAAGGGCCATACACTACACTATATGACTATGTTCAAAGAGTGAAGAAAAAAGAAATTCATTTGAGTGATCTCACCTCAAAAAGAAGTATGTTTTAAATAAAAACTATTATTTATTTACTATTGAAATTATATCTAATGGATTTTAAATCATTACCTACTTTGATTTATACCTATGACATTTTTATTAGAAAAATGTATTTTTAAGTTTAGGTAGGTAACAATCTTTTAGGATTTTAAACTTGCTTTAATATTTCATCAATATTTTTCTTGTTCATTTTTTAATTTGTACCTATAGTAGGTAGAATTATTTTCAATGTTACAAAAAAAAAAATTACAGATACTTGTATAATACATCTAAATTAATGATACAATACCTAATAATTATTATTATTATTCAGGCATACAACAATTAGGCAGATTCAAACCAGTCTTTGACGAAAGTCAAGAACTAGAATTATTAGAATATATTAAGCAAATGGAATGTAGAATGTTTGGCCAAACAATGTTAGATCTAAGGAAACTTGCTTTTGACCTAGCAGAGATAAACAAAATAGACCATAATTTTTGTAAAAAAACTGCAACAGCAGGTAAACCTGAAATTAATTTAATTTTAATGTATTTCTTTAAATTATTTTTAAAAGGTCAAGATTGGGTAAAAGGATTTCTACATCGACATCCAGAATTGTCTATTAGAGCTCCAGAGCCAACATCAGCAGCTCGAGCTATGGGATTTAACAAGCCTGTTGTACAATCATTTTATAAGTTGCTAATAGAATGTATTCAAAAACATAATTTTGGGCCAGACCGCATTTATAATGTAGATGAAACAGGGCTTTCATGTGTTGCCAAAAGTCAGGGGAAAATTATTGCAACTAAAGGAAGAAAGCAAGTAGGAAAACTTTTTTCTGCTGAAAGAGGGCAAAATGTAACAGCCACTATTTGTTTTTCGGCTTCTGGATATTATGTTCCACCTCTCTTAATTTTTCCAAGAAAGCGACTTCTACCTTCTTTTTTAGATGGGGCACCTCCTTCCTCTTATGGTGTAGCCCATCCATCTGGATGGATGCAGTCTGACATTTTTGTAGAATGGATGCATCATTTCATCAAGCACACAAATCCAACTATTTCAAATCCAGTATTACTTCTTTTAGATGGTCATTCCACACATGTAAAAAATATACCAGTTATTGACATTGCAAAGAAAAACCATATTACAATTTTATGCTTTCCACCTCATACAACACATAAATTGCAACCTCTTGATATTAGCTTCATGCGGCCTCTTAGTACATATTACAGCCAAGAAGTTAATTTATACTTAGTTAATCATCCAGGACGCGTTATAACTATTTATGAAATTGGTAAGATTTTTGGTTTAGCTTATAATAAATCAGCAACGATCAATAATGCAGTTTCAGGATTTAGAAAAGCTGGTATTGTCCCTTATAACCCAGATGTTTACTCTGATTTTGATTTTATGGCAGCTTCTACCACAGAAACTCCGTATACACCGAATACTACAAATATAGTTGATCAATCTATAGATAATCAAACTCCATTGTCATCTAATGCAGCATATACAGTTGATCAATTTATTAGTAATGAAACTACATTGTCACCTGGTACTTATAATATAATTGATAAACCTATTAATAATGAAATTCCATTGTCACCTGCTACAATTATTGCTGCGAATGACCAATTTGTCTATGATGGAAGCCAATTGTTGCTGGATGAAACTATTTTAACTGATAAATATATACCTGAAGCTAGTGTAATAGTTTCACCATCGGCCACAAGTTTTTCAGTTTCTCCTAGGGATATTTTAAGGATTCCTCATGCCACCAGAGCTAAAAGTACAAGGAATATACGAAGAGGAAAAACTGGGGTAATTACAGATAGTCCTTATAAAATAGAATTAGAAAGTACAAAAAATATGAAGGGTAATGAATTAAAAAAGAAAATAGCCAGAAAACTTTTTGATAAGCCACAGAAGAAAAAAAGAAAATGTAATTCAAGTTCATCTAAGGTAATAGACAGTAATGATCAATATGCCACAGATGAGTGCATTTACTGCACTGAACCATATACTACTGGTAGTAAAAGTGGAGAAAAGTGGGCTAGGTGTATTGGTTGTGCTAAATGGTGTCATGAGCTATGCGGAGGAGTTGAAGACTGGACATCATTCATTTGTGATTTTTGTAGAGCTAATATTTCTAAGACCTAATTCTTTATTTATTTTATTTTGTTATAATAATATTAAAAATTTAGTTATAAGACTAAAAAAATTTTTAAAACTATCAAGACTGATGGGAAATTAGGTACCTACTTATTCTTATTTTATGTTATCAAAAAAGTTCCTTATTATTATTTTTTATTTTTTATTACTATAAAATTAAATTTTATGTTATATACTTACACCTAGGAATATTGAACATTTTTAAAGATAAAAAACAATTTTTAAAATTTTCAAGACTGATAGGAAATTACTATTTTTTATTTTGTTATTATCAAAAAAGGTCCTTACTATTATTTTTATTTTTTATTACTATGAAATAGAATTAAATTGTTATTAAATTATCATAACTGATAGAAAAGTCTAATAGTCTATTATTAGGTAACCTACTTAAAGTGATTTTATTTTGATTAATATTAATTAATGTAATTATCTAAATACCTATTTGTTGGATATTTATTAAATTTAAAACAAATTAATTGAATAATCAAGATTGATTAAATTTGTTGTTAAAATTTGTTTTTATTTTGGTTTCATTGAATTTTAATGAACTTATACATTTCTTATAATATATAGGTAATTTATGAAACCTTTATTACTATATTTACAATACTTCAATAAAATGGTTATTTATATTTTGGTTTAGTAAGTTCTTTTGAAAAAAAGCTTAATATAATATTTTTTTCTATCATTATTTTAGTACCTATTACACCATGCATCGGTATTGCCCCATTACAAATCGATTTTGCCCCGGTATCGGGGCAAAACCGATAAAATGTTAAAAATAGTTAATGGCTTATTAAAAAATAAATATAAATGATATTCACTGTATTGTAATTCAATATTGTAAATAAGAAGTTACTTAATAAAACTGTGCAAATAGATCGAGTTTATTTTAAGATCCTGAATAGTTATGAAGGTATTCGTTTTTTCAGTCGGTTTTGCCCCGTGTTCCCCTAGTATTATATCGTAACAGTAGTTGTTCGTGGTAATAGTGATATCCCACAAAATGTCCGTCACCTTTATAGTTTCTGCTATTTCTTACTATTTCTTATTGAGTACAAATAAACGTTCGGGCATCGTTTTTAGCAAATATATCATCCAATTAACTCTCATTAGAAAGAACTATTGAAATTATAGTGACATTATTGATTGATGATTAGGTAATTAAATGCGAAGTATGCTGTACATAATTGAGATTCTTAATCTATAATATTATTAAATAATGAAATATAATCATATTAATGTAATATCAATATTGTCTACTTAGCGATTTCATGTTGCAATACCATCATTACCATAGACCTATTAACTAATGGACTGCTACTTCCTCACCCCCAGCCTAGAGAAACACTCAGACAAAATCTGATAAGCAAAAAGGGGTATTGTGGAAGAATAAATTACATATTATTGTTTATTCCATGAATTTTTTATATTGCGTCTGTATTTAAAAATCAAAATGCACATTATTACATTAAGATTAAACAATTTGAAATTTGTTAATTCTAAAATACAAAATAAAATTATAAATAATAAAAAATAAACCATAGACCTATAATATGATAATATAATTAATAGGTCTATGCATTTTACTGATGCTGGAAGTGTACGAGTTTTGTCAAATGTGACCTTATCCTTTCTTTGGGTTGGCTAATTGTTTTATTCAAATGATGTATACGAATAGTGAAGTAAGTTTTAAAGATAAGTTTTATTACTTGAATAAGATGATTGTTTATCGGATTTTGATTGTAAATATGGTTTGATAATTTTAAAAAGTACTTGCTTATATTAATTCGTGAAAAGGCCTTAATAATAAATGTTTTTGTTGAATTATTAGAATTTGATTTAAAATTATGTTGATGGATCCGGAATACATTTTCACCTATACGACAAAGTTCCGTCACATCATCATTTGGCCTGACTAAACCACCTCTAGTTTTTAAATCAATCAATGGGGATTGGGTATTACTTGACTCGCTTATAACCTCTGCACATTCTTGACATTTTATAATTTTTTTTATTTTTCTAACAACAAAGCCACTTATATACTGTGTTGTATCCATTAAATACGATGTATATTGTGATTTCTCTAAATATAGAAACATTGATGTATCTTCTTCTTCATCAATGTCTATTCCAGCTGTACAAAAATATTCTAATGAATCAGAATCAATTCGTTGTGAACTGCTAGTCACGGTTAAAATTTCAGTCTCATCTAGACGCATACAGTTAGCTTGGATAGATGTAGTAATTTCTGTGTGTATCAGTAACCTTTTGTACGCTGATTCAAATTGACTGGCCGTGGGGTTATTGCAGAACCCACCACGAGATCGTATAGCAGAAAAAAACATTTCTATGTGGTCTTGAGAGATTTTATATGATAATATAAAATCCATATGATCAGTTTTAATCACATCATCAAATAATGCTATAATACTCTTCAAACACACAATTAACCCATTAAACCCAGTTTTTCTTCCAGAATTTATTACAGGAATGAAGTCAAAAGATTTTGTTTGTTTGTTATACACTCTTGTTTGCAAAGATTCTAAGTATTCAATAGCCGATGTAATAAACAATTTTAAAAATGTTTCATCCTTTTTATAGATAGGTTTTTTGTAAACCGTTTTACCTAAGAAATTTCTGGTATTAAGTAAATCAAAAATATCATTAATTTGTTGGCAAAATGTTGATGTTGCATCAGAATTTTGGAAGCCTTGAATTTTTTGGTTGGAGCAATAAATTAGCGCTTTAGATACACTCTCGCTTAATGTTTGAGCTGCTAATCTAACTTTCATCTTCTCCTTGTAATAGTTTATATGCATTTCTCTTATTTTTGTTGCTAAATGCAGTTGAGTTTCATCTTGGAGCTTTACAAGTTTTTCAAAAAATTCCCATTTTATTTCTTGTCCATTCTTATCGTATAATGATTTCCAATCACCAAGAGTATTTCTACATAGTTTTAGCATATGACATGGATCTAAAAAAATGAAAATCTTACTCTTGGTGATTGGATGCAAAAAATATGTTTTTACATTAGGTGGATATAGTTTACTTCCTAATGAAGTAGCCATTGATATATTGGAACCAGCACCATCAAATGTAAGGCTTTTTACAATAACACCTGTCTCATGAATTATATTTAAGCTTGTTCTAACTAAATTAGCTTTTTCTTCTCCTGACATACCATTGATAAGAAAATAGCCAATAGGGATTTTCCAATTGGAATTTAAAGCCACAAGCATTAGTACAAGGGCTTCTTTGGCTAATGGGAGTGAATCTGTATCTTCGTTTAGACCAGTGCCATAATTGACATATCCTTGATTTCGTTTTCCATTAAAATGTACATCCTGTTTTATACTGACTTCATCCATCATCATTCCGCAAATTAATTGTTTGTTTTTTAACTTCATTTCAGACACTTTATTATGTAAAGCGTTTAATGATTCTGTAGTGAAGCCCGGGGATCCATTAATAACGGCATACCATTTGCGTATTGTAGATGGATGGGGAAGGGATTTATTAAAAACTTTTCTAACATAATTGTAAGCGGAAGAAGAATAAAAATGTAAAGTTAAAGCAAAAGCTCTTAGTTCTGGAGATATTTTTTTTTCAGAAGTACCATTTAACTGTTTTAAAATAATTTGTCTTGGCACAGTGGATAAATTGTCCTAAAAAATGAATTAAAGACAGTTAAAAATCACATCATATCTTATTAATGTATCCTTTAATTTTGTTTATTATTATGGTTTCACCAAAGAAGTCATTAGCATGTACAAATTAATAGGTACCTAAGGTTAAATAATCACAAACAAGCTAAAAGTTTTATTAAAACATTTAAGTTATCATAGAACTATTAACATTAGTTAGTACTGTTAGTAACATTAGTTAGATTAATATATTATTTATTTTAACACATTGCAAATTCTAACCTACATAATAAACACGTAAAGACATTACACTAATATTTTTTTATGAAATTCACAAAGGTTATTTGGTTACAGAAAAACAAAGAAAACATAATACAATGTACATAAATGGTAGTGTAAAAATACCTATTTATATATTATTTATTTTAATACATTGCAAATTCTAACCTATATAATAAGTAGTAAAGACATTACACTAATATAGTAATATGTTTTTATAAAATTCACAAAGGTTACACTTACACACAAATCTAAATAACAATAATTCCACAACCGATTATTTAAAAAAACTTTTAAGAGGACACTACCCATGCATTTGTTGTCTCCGTCTTACACACTTACAACTTAGCAAATTTAAAATTCAATTTTAATTTTTGATATTTCACATACACAAGTCTTACTTCAAAATGAAAATATTGAAATATCGCCAACGCTTAAGCACAGATAATATTCTTACCTATAAGTATGATAATACTCTAATATTAAAACCAAAAACACACTACTGAAACTAGTGAACGGAAATTTCCTATGTCGTGTGTGTGTAAGACGGAGACAACAAATGCATGGGTAGTGTCCTCTTAATAAATTATTACTTTTAAAATTGAATAACAACCATCAGATATTTTTTGTTCATTTTTGAGATGATCAACCAATTGGTTTAAATTTTTCACACGTTTTCTTAACCAATAATTTTTATTATGCAAATTTTTGACCTGTTTTCTGTACTTTACCACCGTTTGTTGAGAAACTTTCCAGTACCTTTTTCTTTTTCTCGGTGTGTCTAAATCATTCGCTTCAAAATCTCCAAACAAGCTTTTTCTTTTCCTAATGTAAATAAATTAAATAAATATAGATTTACAGATGACATAACAATTATTTCACATAGTTTATATTTTATAAATAATTAATAATAGTGTACTAACCTTATACTAACTGGTGATTTACCAGTACGTCTTACACATTTTGGCGTCACCGTGTTATCAGCAGTATACAATTGTGGAGAAACTATGATGTAAAAAATGAAGAAAAATATAATATTACATCTTGTAAAACCAAATGAAT